AAGTCGTCTGCAGATAAGATTCTGGGGAAGTCTTCCCATGGGGCAGCACACAAGACGAGGTCCTTCGCTGCAGAGATCATCCCTTCAGACGAAGTAGACGTATACGACGAGCAACGCATCCTCATTCCTGAAGTAGCAGTGAAGAAGAAGACGAGGTCTTCGTCTACAGTAACATCAGCAGTCATCTCAGCGCAGTCAGACGTTCTATCAACGCAGACATCAGATAGAGATGGCAGATCTTAACAAGTGCAGCAGTCCTTGGGAGCAGCCTCAGTACTCTCAGATGCGTCGTCCTCATTGCAGCAGCCATCGTCGCAGAGTTTCAACCCGGGTATCTTCATGCAGCAGTTTACTCAGCAGATGTTGGACCTGATGGAACGGAGGTTCTTGCAGGAGAAAGCTGTGACGAAGGCCCCATCTACGACGAGCCTTCATGAAGGACAAGCAGCCTGCATATCGCATCCCGTTAAAGATAGTAACCTGCATGAAGGAGGAAACCTACGTGAAGGATCACACACTCGACGATGTTCCACGACATCTTCATGAGAGCCTCCTCCTCAGATACAGACAGCCATCAGGAGCCTGCGTGCAGGCACCCTACATACCATAGAAGAGAATCTACACCTTCACGAAGGCACAGAGATACGTCTCAAGACTCCAGGGAGGATAGTTATCTGAATCAGTCGCCTGCGCGCAGGTCTCCACGCAGATCACCACGAAGGTCTCCATGCAGATCTCCACGAAGATCTCCACGCAGGTCTCCACGAAGGTCTCCACGCAAGTCTCCACACAGATCTCCATGCACGAGGGAGACACAACGACAACGATCTCCAGAACAAGAAGCCTCTAGATCTGAAGATGATGGTGGAATCATATTTTCTGATACAGAGATCAAATCTTGGATGGCAAATTGATTGGAACTTGCATCACCTTTTCAAGAGGATAATGAAGCATTCACGTATATGATGTCAAACGAGGACTTTGATACACTTATTCTTCCACCCATCGATCCTGTCTCGGATGTACCGGAGAACCTCAGCACAGCATTCAGGAAGGCAACGAAGTTCCAGCGTCAAAGCGTCCCACCATTCAAAGCAAAGAAGTTCTCTCTTCACCACATGGAACCCTTCATCAAGGCCCCAGAGATAGATGAGAACTACAAGATCATCAACGACTCCCGATCTAGGACTTATAAAGTAGAGGATAAATAGTTGGCACAACTAGACACAACTACCAGACGTACCTTCTTTGGTCTAGCCAGGTCAAGAGCCATCAATGAAACCTTCGACCTCTGAAGAAGATACAATGATCTACTCGGCATTGCTGACCCAAAAGAAAGATCATCAGTTTATGTCCGAACATCTGGCATCCACATCAGCGGTCCTGACGCTCTTGAGAAGACAAGGATTGCTGTCTTCCTGTACTTGGAGTGGGCGCTTCACCAAGTCACTATACAGAGCTCCGTGGTCAGCATCATCTATCTTCGCAGGGGAAATTGAGGACGTGGCCAAGGAAGTAACGAAAGAGTCAATGGGAGGTAATGATGATCAAGTCCATCGATACACTAGCCAGTGTTATCCGTCAGACGTCGAAACGCTATTCCGGCAAGTCGAAGTTTACGGGGATACAGAGATCCAGGGAAAAGAAATATGGCAACTCCAGAGGAGGCAAGGATTCTTTTCGTCGCCCAACCGGAGCTCCAAGAGGTTACCCGAGAAGAGACAGGGCACCCAGAGGTGCTAGGAACTTTAGACGCTGAAGGGCGGGTTCGGAACGACTGGAGTCTTCCACCCCCAGCCGTTCCCATACAACCTTCAACAGTGGGTGGACGTCTACAACGCTACTGGAATCCCAGGTCCTACACAGAGGATACAAGATACAACTACAAGCTGTACCACCATTGACAAGCAACTCTCTGGCCCACAACTATACTGCCGACCAAATGGAGAACCTACTCGATGCTATCACAACTCTACTCGAGAAGGAATTGATCGAAGAAATAAAACAGGAATTCGTCACACCCGGTTTTTACTCCCCAATCTTCTTAGTACCAAAGAAAATTTCCAGGGAAAAGTTCCGACTTATCTACAACATGAGAAAATTCAACCAAGATTATCTACGCAGTACATATCTACATCATCGAGGTCTACGCAGTGCGTTTTACCTGGACTACGGGATTCAAGCTCATCAAGATCCCAGTCAACTCAGACTGCAACTAGGCTTCACAATGAGGCTACTCACTCAACTAGGATGTCTAGTAAATTTCCTCAAGTCAGAACTAGAACCCACACAGGATCTGCAATTCCTAGTAATACGGCTCATCACATCGCAGAATCGTATAGTTGTCCCAGAGGAGCGTTGGGTCAAGATACAACAAATTATATCTCAAGCACTACTCTCTCCGTTACCACTACGAGATTAGCAGAGCCTACTTTGTCTTCTCACGTCAGCACAAGACATGACACGCAGAGGAAGGCTACAACTGCGCCCACTACAAGTGTTTGTGAACGCTCATCTAGACAGTCTGAACTCCTTCGGAATACCGGACGGACTGAAACCATTTCTTCTATGGTGGACTCGGAAGTCGAATGTTTGCGGAGGAACCTACTTATCAGAGCCGGAGTACAACACTCATCACTTGAAGGATGGGGAGACCACCTCGACAACGAAGTGGCAGCAGGGAAATGGTCGAGTCAGGAGCAAAGTCTGCACATCAACATGCTCGAGAGGAAAGAAGGAATAAACGCCTTACTACACTGGTCCAGCATACTAAGGAACGCACAACTGATGATCCATACGGACAACTCCACAGTGGCGTTCTACATCAACAAACAAGGATCAACAAGGTCAAGGACTCTTCTTGACCTCAGCTTTCATCTGTTCAGCATAATAGACAACCTGAACGTCGACTTAAAAGCATGTCACATTCGCAGAGCCAAGAATGCGATAGCTGATGCCCTATCTCGTCCAACACAACCAACCCCGACGGAATGGATGTTACATCCAGAAGCATTCAGATGCATCATACAGAGGATAGGATATCCGTTGATAGACCTGTTTGCTATAAGGTTCAACAAACAAATACCAACATTCGTCTCTCCGGTTCCGGATCCACAAGCATGGGCGACAGATGCTCTAAGCATCTCCTGGGACGGACTAAATGCTTGCACGTTTCCACCTCCAGCTCTAATACCGCAGGTGTTGCAGAAAATCAAGCAGACGAAGAAGCTGCAAGTGATTTTGGTCGCGCCCTACTGGCCAGCGAGGGTGTGGTTTCCCATCCTCATACAAGAACTCGGAAGTCCAAACTCCCAGAGTGGCCGAACCTACTAATTCATCCGCACACCAAGCAAGTACACGGAAATCCAACAGTATTCCAGCTACACGCATGGAACGTATCAAAACTTGCTTGAAGAAAAGAGGATATTCCGCCAGAGCAGCGAACGCAGTCACACTAGCTCTACGTAGATCAACCTGCAACTTGTATGATGAGAAGTGGCAGAGTTTTGAGAAATATGATTGAGGAAGGACTTCAAGGCGATGAAAGCAACACATCCTCAAGTGACGGAATACCTATGTCATCTAAGACAAAGATTCAATGCTCTCTACATACCTAGCGGCCCTCAGCACGGTTATCACCATGAAGATGGGTGTTAAGCTGACCAAAGTACCAGATATACTGGCTCTACTACGCTCCTTTAAGTTGGAAGACCAACAAAGGACATTTAAGGCGCCTGCTTGGGATCTCAACGTAGTCTTGCAGCATCTCACCAGTGACGCTAACGAACCACTAGAAAGGATATCCTATGAGTTTCTAACACATAAAACTCTGTTCCTGGTCGCCTTGGCAACAGCAGCTTGGATGTCAGAAATACATGCTCTGGACTTTGAACGAATACGCTTTGATGCACATCGCAACATTATATATCTGGGATTGAGATGGGACTTCATAGCAAAGAACCAACTGCCCGGTCAACCAGACAGACAATTCCACATCCCATGCTTCTCGGCAGTCCTTGGGCCACAGGATACTCAGGATCTATCCTTTTGCCCAGTCAGGGCATTGAAAGTCTACCTACAAAGGTCTGAGACGAGGAGACGAAAATTCAAGCGCCTTTTCATCCCTCTATCTACGGAGCTGCCTACAGAAATCTCACGTACAACTATATCAATATGGATGAGAGCCGTCATATTGAAAGCCTATAAAGCAGCAGGACTTGAGCCTCCACGAGCCCCCAATCCTCTTGAAGTCAGAGCGCTGGCATCGACACTCGCTCTACATGGAAACTGCTCAATCTCGACAATAATGGAGGGCTGCTATTGGAAGTAAGAGACGGTGTTTGCCAACCACTACCTCAGAGACATTGCTGCCGAGGATGTCTCCGGCATTCACCAGTTTGGGCTTCTTGTTGTAGAACAACAATTGACGGTTACTCAAAGGTGCTGAGATGAATCTCATCCTTTTATCACATGACTTGTAAAAGCCAACGCTCGGAAGAGCTAGAGCTTAGAGTCCATGTGCACGTCTAAGACAGGCCAGCATGAGTGACAGACCCTATACTTGTAAGGACTTACTCGTATATGATGAAGGGTCGTTTCTCCACTTGATGCCAGCATCAAGACATGGAGTCGTATAAATCCACACTTAATGTCAGGAGAAGCGGTTCCAGAGAAATCTGACAAGTTGTGGTTCCCCCAAACTCATCAGAGGAAGCTGGAAGAAAGGATCAGCAGAGCACTATAAGAAGTTCCCTCAGGGGGGTATGCAGGACGTAAATCAGCAATGAATCCAGAGTGGCTTGACCCACCACCAGTTCCCGTGGATTCTACAAGCAATTAAGCATGAGTCAGGATACGGGAAAATATGTAATTTTTTTATTAAAATTGATATTTTATACTTATCCTGCCTTATGAGGTAAGCCCTCCCAACCTCCCCTCATGGCACTCTGGATTCCCTGAAATCCAGGTGTCGGGCGTTTAATTCGGAGAGAGTGAAGAGCATGTTGGGTCATGTGACGGATTTCCCGCCAAAACATGTAAAGGGAGATAACACTGGGTGAGTGATTTTACGTCCGCTTTTTTTAAGGGAGCTTCAAAAGGGGATTCAAGTGTTCCACTATCATTCGCAAGAAGAAGGAGACAAGCAACTAAGCATGAGTCAGGATAAGTATAAAATATCAATTTTAATAAAAAAATACATTTCTTTAGTCCTTTTGTGTATTGGTAAACATATGTTAAAAATGAGTATAGTTTCAGAATAACATTGTCTGTATTCCAGGTAAAAGAGTTTTGTTGTTTTGTTTGTTTTAGATTCTTTATGAGTGCAAATCATTCTCTTTCAGAGACCCTACAACGAGATTACATACTCTGCCTCTGGATCTGGCCTGACGTTTTTCAATGTTAATAGCCAGACAGGAGAAGTGACAGTGGTCAATAACCTTGTCCAAGATTCCAACACAAGATATCAGGTGACTTAGCTCTCTCCAAGAACTACTGTTGTGATAGAATGTCCATGTTGTTCTATGAAATTGTTGTAATGACTTATCATCTCCTCTTCTGTCTGTTATCTGTTCACATTTCTGACACTCATAGATCTTTGTAACTGGAAAGAGACGTGTTTTTTTATATTGAGTTAGTTATTTATGTATCCACATGCACTGTTTGGGAAAAGAGGAATCTGATCAAAGAATGTAATTTGTCTTTCTTTATTATATGCATTTTAAAGTTTGATATAATATTTAAACATTGGTTACATCTAGAGGTATCCCATTACATCACCTGTGTACAAGTTGATCTTTGATTAGTATTGAACTGGTTCTAACGTTTGGTTATAGCTACAAGTGTTCAACCCAATCATTTAATGTTTCTGATCAAGGGGAATTTAAAATCATATGGTGATGGTTATAAATCAAACACACAAAAAAGACATATTGTTTAATTCAACATTTGAGCAGAGTGATTTTCATGCAATGACCTTGTTATATTCAGAGTGATTGTAAACAAATGACTGTTTGTCTAATCAGCCTGTATGTTCTTCAGCTGACAGTCCAAGCTACAGATAGAGGTGCCAGCCCTCTGTCATCAGCCCAGCCTGCATCTGTCACTATCAACGTTGTGAGGAACCAGGCCTCCCCTGTGTTTGTACAGATCCCTTACGACACCACTGTGTTGCGAACAGCAGGAGCCAACACCCCAGTTATCACTGTAACTGCTACTGATGCAGACACAAGGGTACATTCCTTTCTCAAGCATTGATTTAATTTCCTTATTGTTTGTGTGTAAATATTTGGCTTATTTTCATGTTTATCGGTTATATATTTCATCTTGTAATTGTTTCAGAGTCCCTACAATGAAATCACATATGGAATTGCCAGCATGACCATCGACAGATTCCGAATCAACCCAACAACAGGGGAGATAACTCTCACACAAGCTATTGCCACGGATTCCCAAGCTCAATATGGGGTAAAAAATGTCGTATTTCAAGATGTGTTGAGATGTTTTCCCAGTTTTCCATTCACTTTTTTATTACTTCTTTGTATGTTTATGATTTGATTATATACGATTGTCTCTTCTTTTTTCAGGTAACAGTTTTCGCACAAGATGGAGGAAACCCAAGGCGTGTGACCTACAACACATTTACTGTGGGAGTTGATCGTAACCTCAATGCACCGTTCTTAACAAATCCTTCAGGACCAAACTTTGAAAATTCCACCACAGTACTGGAAACTATTGGCTTTGATTACCTTATCTATGATGTTGATGCCTTTGATGCAGATTTATCGGTAAGAACCTTACAAGTGTGATTGTAAAAGGATGATCATTTAGATATATAATGTCAACCTGATAGACACATGACTGCTTTAGGGTCACATTTCCATTCCTGTTTTGTTTGTTTGTTGTTGTTTTTGTTTTTTTGTTTTTGTTGTTGTTGTTTTTGTTGTTGTTGTAGACAATTGCATGGACTTCATGTTCTTCATAATCATGTGGATTGCTTGTTGTTCTTTGTTTTGTCATTTCATTTCATTTTAGTTAAGTTTTGGTACAGGACAAGAATATGCATTCACATACACTAGAATGGTCTCAGACCTGTCTTCCAAATGTGTTGTAATGGAGTTCTGTATTTATCAAGATTTATGAGGAAGGTACATTGAGCGAACCTAGTTGTAAAGTTTTTTTTAGGAAATGAAAGTTCTTTTTGTGTAAATATGTTTAGATGGAGATATTTCACTGTTTGTTCTCTCCAGGATCCATACAGGTCACTGCTCTTCTCCATCATTGGAGAAAATACTGCATCAACCTACTTCCTGATAAATCGTGACAGTGGTGAGATCCGTCTCAAGTCCTCTCTTCTTCAGGACACGCTCCAGACTCGCCAGTACAGAGTAAGTACAGAGATCATTGGTTATAGCAGGCCCTTTTTTCGTGTTGATGTTTGTATATACCTTTGTAAACCATTACATTAATAATTGTTCTAATTTGTTCTGCAGCTGATTGTAGCAGTCACAGATGGTGGTGATCCACCAAGGCCTGCTCCCTCCACTGCCACCATTACTGTCAATGTCATCCGCAACCTGAATACTCCACGCTGGGTCAATGACCCTTACAGTGCCACTATTGATGAGACTATCGGTGCAAATGTCAACATTGTCAATGTCCTGGCAGTTGATGACGACATTGTAAGCATGTTTACTGTTGTGTATTACCAAACATTCAGTAACTGAAGGAAGTTATAAACGTTAACTGAAATATCGGTGCAAACTAACTCTTGTATCACAATTGAATGTAGCAAATTAGCAGAATAAGGGTTTAATTTTCACCAATCTGTGTATCATTGCAGCTATAAAGTATACATTAACTGCAATTTTGGAAATAACAGTAACTGAGATAAAGCATGTGTTAATGATATAATTAAAGGCATTGCTTAGATAAATTCAAGTGCAAGAGCAACACATTTCAGTGCATTACATGATTTTTACCTTCAGAATGCATTCAACCGTGTGAGCTATGAAATTATTGGGGACAGCACTGCACCTGCATACTTCGACGTGACACCAGGTGGTAGTATCATTAGGAGGCAGTCACTACAAAGTATTCCAGACACCAGGTTCTATGTAAGTCTTATTTTGTTGTATTAGCTGAAAATACTTGTGCATTTGATAACGTGATATGAATTAGTACAATAACCCAAATCTGAATAGTCCAATTATTAGGATACTAATTTTGTGTTATATTTTGTATTTGATCAAGGATTTTTGGTATACTTAAGGAATATTTTTGGAGAGAGAAAGATAAATGCTAATAAACAAATACCTCTAGCTTGTGGTTTACATGAAACATGTATTTTTACAGTTGAGAATTGTTGCCTCTGACAATGGTGTTCCACCTAAGACCAACACAACTGTGGTGTCGATCATCATCAATCGCAACCTAAACACCCCAACCTTCAGCCAGTTGCTATTCACTACGGAGATTGATGAGACTACAGAAGTAGGAACGGCAGTTCTGAGCATCTCAGCCACTGACCAAGATTCTGTGGTATGTACACACTTTGACACAATGATGTCCTATCATTAGACTACTGCCACAGGCTAATTTGCTCATCATGTTACTGGAGTTTTCTCTTGTATTTGGACAAATGGGCTTTTTCTGAAATCAGGGTCTAGGTTTTTCTGACTGGTCTACTGGATCTGTTCTGTATAATTATACCTTTGATGGAATTCTCTGGCTGTGATGTATGCTGCTATGCGTCAAGTCATATGGTTTTGACCACAATGTTAAACGTCTTTATTACATTTCAGCCCCCATACAACACAGTAGAGTTTGCCCAGATTCCCAATTCTGCGACCGGTCTCACGTTTTTCAGTCTGGAGGCTGATACTGGTAATGTTGTTCTGAGGAGACCTCTAACAGGAAACCCAGATTCAGTGTATGAGTTCCAGGCTCTTGTACGTGACGAAGGTGTACCATCCCGGGAGCAGTCACAACGAGCAACTGTGAGAATTACTGTCCGCCGCAACAACAATGCCCCCTTCTTTGTTGGTAGCCCCTACTCAGTTACAATCAATGAAGATCAAGCTGTGGGGTCACAGATCCTACCTGTTGTTGCACAGGACTCTGATGTCAATGTAAGTATTAGACCGGGTTCACAGTGCAGTTATCATGAACACAATCTTCCTCTTCTGAACAGTTTTCAGTATGACTCAAAGGACATTCTCAAATTTCCAAGCTTAGCAAGAATATTTTGACTGACTGTGGATTATGAGCCACTTTAAAAAGCATATCAGTTACATCGTGGCATGTCAGCATTAAGTGATATGAGTCCCAGATGTTAGCCATTTAAGACAAAGGTATGGTGTTGACAATCCATTGTCACAGTGCAACAGGGATTAGAACCCATGATCAACATATCTGATCATGACTAAATCCTAATGACAAATTTTTGCACAGCCAGACATTTTATACTGTAAAGTTTCACAGTGCCATACCATGCCAAGTACACCTATGCATTTCTCTTCTCACTTCAGAGTCCATTTAACCAAGTGACACTTCGTGTGATTGGTGATGAGAAAGGACCAATATACTTTGGTTTGGCCAACAATCAAATCAATGTCACTAGGAACCTTATTTTGGACGCAGAAAATGATCTCCGTTATACAGTAAGTATAATTTTCACTTACTTTCTTTGTACATGCAGTAATTATTGTTGTATACCACTATTGTGAAAGGAACCTAATTTCTTATTGCTTACATACCTGTTATTCTTCAGCTGCGCATTGAAGCAAGAGATGGAGGGTCCCCTGCCCGTTCTGCCACAGCGTTGGTTTACATAACTGTCAACAGGAACCTTAATCCTCCGGTGTTCACTACCCAAGCTTACAGTGCCAGGATACCCGAGACACAACAGCTTGCAGTCTCTGTTGTACAGGTTCAGGCAACAGATGGAGACAGAGTTGTGAGTGTTGTGGATGTCCTTGTCATCAATTTTCTTACATGCTTTAAATAATTACCACAATTGAGCATAATTTTTGTGAACATTTTTATCATCCAAATAATTATGAGTATCTCTTTCCAGGCCCCATATAACACATTGCGGTATGAGATCAGCGGTGCTCCATTCAGTACTCTGGGACGCCAGTACTTTATGGTCGATCCGGTAACTGGTGTTGTGAGTGTGAGGCGTAATCTCGAGACAGACACCAGTGACACATCTGTATACAGGGTAGGTGTCTATAGTCCCTGTGTGCACACGATTTCTTTGAGCTGCCACACAACGCTTCTGAGCTACGATTAACACAAATGACAGAATCAGTGGTTCGATTCTATTGAATCATTCTGTTGATTTTTGGTTCTACTTTCAGTTTATTGTTGATGCCATAGATGGAAGTGGAGTGAGGGCACCACAGCCTGCCAATGTTGATATCACTGTGGACAGGAATCTCTTTCCTCCAGTCTTTATTACCACCAACTACACAGCTGTCATCAACAACACCACACCACAGGGCTCACCAGTCTTCACTGCTTTGGCCACTGATGGTGATTCTACGGTGAGTACAACCACAAAGTATCTAAATACATACAATCCGCAGTCAAATGTACATAAGCCAAATTTTTCTTCAAGGAGTATCTACAGTCCAATGTATGTAAAATTCTCGATTAAATGATTCTTTAGCATACAACAACTTATATCTGTCTATTGATCAACTGCAATCTGAGTGTACAAGTTTTGATAAAAATGGGAATTTTGGTTAAGGTATCTGATATGAAAACCCAATAGATACTTATAGATAATTATACTATTTTCAGAGTCCCTTCAATGTGGTGCAATACAGCATCATTGGGGATGATGGGAGTCAGAGCTTCTTCAGTGTTGATGCTACCAGTGGTGCAGTGTCACTTGCACAGCCAGTGTTTAACATCCCGAATACACAGTTCAGGGTAAGTCAAAATGTGCCTCACCAACCTCATAAACATACTCATAAATGTATCAGGAACATGAATTTGTATTTAAATGCACTTTGATAAATGTATCAGGAACATGCATTTAATTGAAACACTGTCACATGTGTATCAGGGACATGCAGTTTAATGAAAACACAGTGACATAGGTGTTTGAATATGCATTTTTTTTCACAACATTGTCAAAGACATACATTCAAGTCCAGCGCCACAGACAACTTTATCAGGAACATATACTTTGGCACTGAGGCAAGTTCAGTTGTGCCAACAAGTGTCAATAGTCTGTGAAGATAGATTATGTTATGCAACAGGTGCGACTCCAGGCTGTGGACGGCTCAGGTCTTACCGATGTGGAAGTACTCACTGTGTTCATTCAGAGAAACCTCTTTGCTCCTGTCTTCACTCAGACTTTATACGAGCGTGTCATTCAGGAAACAATTCCTGTATCCACCAGTATTCTCAACGTGTTCGCCCAGGACAGCGACCAAACAGTAAGTACTGTGTTCATGATGACATGAAAGCTCATTTTAGCTCAAATATACAATGATGTCTTGTTGACATTACCTTTTCATTTTGGAATAAAAGGAAGACCCTGCTCCATTTTGAAAAGAAGATACCAGTTTTGTAATTGTTTATAGGACTGTTTGTTAGCTTTTGATTCAGATTTCTTGTATTCCTTATATTTCCTGTATAGTGGTGTATACATTTGTCTGGTTAACTTACATCATTAGCTTTAGCTTAGCATCATAAATTTGATTATCCTCTAAAGCATATGAATTTGAATCATGATTTTGTGTTGATATGTGTCAAAAGTTATGAACAGTGTGTATGAAGTATCACTCTGTTTCCAGGCCCCCTACAGTACAGTCAGCTATTTTGCAAGTGGCTCATCAGACAGGTTTCTTGTGAATGTCAACAATGGAGCTGTAACTGTTAGACGCTCACTTATTGGTGAATCTGGCCAGACTTTCACAGTGAGTAGACAGTCAGTCATTGCTTTAGTAGGTATAAGAGATTATTGATAAAGATAATGCATGCTGTAAAATTTGTTAATGTTTTCTGTTATATAAGGTATGATGACAAAAATGTAGGATTTTCCATCAATAAGAGCAATGATTAATCTTCAGTTACAGGTGTATGCCCAAGATGGTGGTACCCCTCCACTGCGTAGTCAGTTTGTCACAGTTCGCATCAATGTAACTCGCAACAACTTTCCTCCTGTGTTTGTCAACGAGCCATACAGCCAGTCACTGCTGGCAACAGCAAGTGCAGGAGATGGTGTAGTCCAAGTTACAGCCACTGATGCAGATGTTGAGGTATGCCCATATCAGCAGAATTGCTTTACAAAATATTTGGGTGTGAATAACAGTATCAGAGTAGTGCGATATTAATAAGTTGTTAATCTAAAGCTGACAATGGACTGGATCCTCCTCAACGTATATAAATGTTCCTAATAATGTGAGGTTATGTGTTCCCTTATTAATGGAGATGTGTGTTTCAGTTTCCCTTCAATAATGTGAGGTATGATATCATTGGTGATGACAATGCCCCAGCCATCTTCCAAATTGATGAGAGCAGTGGTCAGATATCTCTCCGAAACACCTTCAGTGGTGATGGTGCTGAGCTCTACAGGGTTAGTTCACCTACTGTGTGTAAACAATATACAAGGGCATAGGCCTGCTTCCTTAATGTTGGTACAGCAAGGAGGAAAGTGGAGCCCTGAACATGATGATGGACTGAGAGAGTGTGTCTTTCACATAAACAGTACAAGGTCAAGCTTTCATTTTCAACAAGCATTTTTTTCCTTTAATTGTCTTCTACCATTTAAATCTTTTGACAAAGTACTGTTTTTTTTACCATTTTAGTAGTTTTATTTCAGTTAGTATCGGCTCATTGTCTGTCTTTGCACCATATATGGGCATTTATTGTAAATTTTGCTCTATTATGTATCAGATCCGAGTACGAGCACGAGATGGTGGCAACCCACGTCTGTCTGATATCACTGTTGTGTCCGTTAATGTGACCCGAAATCTTCGTGCACCGGTTTTCAACACCCCAACCTACAGTGCAAGGATTTTGGAGACCATAAACTTTGGTGAAGTTTTTATCTCAGCCACAGCTCAAGACTTGGACACTTCGGTATGTTAATGTAACCAATTTACAGATTTAAGCTTGCTTATTGTAAAGAGACTTTTGTTTAATCTGTTAACATATTTGTATTTTATCTTTAAATGCATTCTGTTCTGTGTATGTACACTGGCAGTACAGATAATGTCATTGGTTTTGAAAAGTTGCTTCTTAAATTTACTTTTGGCAAACATTTGAATATTGCAGGCCCCCAACAATGCACTGACCTACCAGCTGACTGGTAATACAGAATGTCAACGATACTTTGGCATCAACAACAATGGGGGACTGTATGTACAAGCTGACCTTGTCACAGATCCTACAAGGGCCACATTCTACACTGTGAGTTCTTAGGTTGTCTGAGAAACATTTTCACTATAAGATGCATCTTCATGAGTTGTTTAATGGCATCTTTTTATTTGTCCATAGTAACTTTGTGTCATAATTAAACGTTTTATAAATATAAGATGTTTCAAAATAATTCACTAATAAGTGTGTAATCAATTGTTTTATCTTTTTATGATTGGACGTCAATATGTTAAGGGTGTATTAAGATGTGTACTTTACATAAATACAAATAAATATTGAAGGCAAATCTTATTAATGAATAAATTAGCAATAATCACTTCACAGCTGCCTATTTAGTGATTGAAACAAAAATTATAACAATGATATGAAAACAGAGACATTGTTCAGTATTGCAACACCAACAATTGTAAATGTCAATCAGTCTCAGCATAAGAATTTGCTTGGCTAAAAAATCAAATGCCATGGAATCCCTTGTTATTGATATATATTGTTTCAAGATGGTTTTTTTTACACTGGCTGTAGAATGATTTTATATGTGCTTCAGTGTCAAGTATCAGCACAGGACCAAGGCAATCCGCGACGGGACTCAACCAACCAGGCCACAGTGGGCATCAATGTGATCAGGAACACAGCCCCAGAGTTCACTAATCTGCCATACAATGCTGTATTGCAGAGAAATATCACCACTGGCACAGTTGTCGGAACATTTACAGTTACTGACAGTGATACAGATGTTAGTATAGGAACTGTTGGGTACAGAATCTGTTGTATTGCTGATATGTATAGACTGCTTTGATGAATGTCTGATGACTTTGGATGATTCAGCTTTTGTCTGGTTCTTTTACCTACTGGTATCTGTAAATGGGATTTCTCTCTTTTCTAAGGTATATTTCCATATGTATGTATAGTAACATTGTTGTGTTTCAGGAACCTTTCAATGAACAGAGACATCAAAGCAAAGGCCTTGGTCCCATATTATCATAAAACTATAAAACTGTTGATGTTGCATAGTAATCTCTCCGAGTCACTTGCTTTGAAGGTGTAAAGTAACCGTTTTTATTGTATTCAGTATTCTTCTTCTTACAATATCTTAGACAATTTTCTAGTACTCAAATATGTATTCCCCTACCATCTGGGTCCATATATAGCTTTGCGATAGAGATTTTATGATCACGTGAATTTCAACAGATTCAAATTCTGTCCAATTTTCTGCCTGAATGTGACTGTTTGGATGTTTTAAACACATAATTTGTTTATGATGACTATTCTTTTACTTTCAGGATCCTTTTAATCGGGTTACTTATTCCCTGATTGGTGATGGTTTGGCAACCAGCTTGTTTACAGTTACACCTGACACTGGTTCCATCAGGACTCAAAATACCCTTAATTCTGATAACAGTGAACAATATGTGGTGAGTTCCCTTCTACGGTTATCAGTAACCCATGTATTGCAGTTAAACAATTGTAGTTAAAATGCATATGTTTATGACCTCTTGTCAGGATATGTATGATGACTGTGTCTCTAATATTGTCATTTTTCTTCACATCAGCTTCGAGTTGTTGCCATGGATGGAGGAACTCCAAGACTCACAGACACATCAACAGTGCTAGTAACTGTAAACAGGAATTTGAATGCACCACAACTGCAGCCTCAAAACTACAGTGTTGGGATTTTGGCCACACAGGCTCTCTCCATACCCATCCTCACTATTAATGCTGCTGATGCTGATGTTGCGGTAAGATCATACTTTATTCTAATATCATGACATGTACCGGTATATAGCATCGTTGTCACATATTTATTTCATATAACTGTCATCCACGCTGAGGGACGAATATGAGATACCGACGACCACGCTGTTTCCAAAAGGCAAGGATGCCTTTTGTTAAGCAGAGGTTTCTAGAACTTGGTCACTACTGGTGGACCTGAGTGCCCGAGTTTTATCATCAGCTCAGAAGCATTTGTCAGTTGTGCTAAGTCGAATACAATTGGCTGTTTGGGCTCCAGTATTATAAACTGGCGTCTTATATTATGAGTATGGAAAGGGTTTTGTCACCTGTGTTGGATGGGGTCAGAATGTAACTCTAACACACTTGATCTTGCTTACGTCAAAACATTGATGACTGCCATAGTTGTGATTGGTCTCTATACAAACAATCGGTTTAGTTGTGTTGATAATTTATGTTTACATGTATCTATTTGTTGCTAGTTTGTGACCTTGACTTTGTTGCTGCTCGATGAGTGTTTACGAAGCTCTAATACCCCCACAACGGGTGTGTACAAGTATGTGATATCATAGCTATAATTTCTTCCATCAACATGTAAATGTACACCTAGAAGGCATTTACATTTCAATCACTTTCTGCTCCCAGGCCCCGTACAACACTGTGCAGTATGAGGTCAACAACCTTCTCTCCAGTGTTCCTGGACGGCTGTACTTCATGGTGGACCGGAACACTGGCGCAGTCAGCCTCAGGTGCTTTCTGGAATCAGACACAAGCTACACTGAAGTATACACGGTGAGTTGAATCATTTAACATAGAGGAAAAGCTAAAAGAAACATCGGTGTGAGAAATAAATATCAGTTCGCAAATTCCTAATATCAGTTAAGGTAAGAGATGTATGTATTCTTTTCCCCGGGGAGAAAATAGATCCATATCATATCGTTCTATTCAGGTATGGTAAGTTAGTTAATATATCTGCTGATATAACGGCATAAAATAACATTCATGTACTGAGTTGTATGACCTCTGCATATGTTCTACTGTAAGGGAACCACCACCATTGCTTACCTGACGCATACCTTGCCCATCGGCTTGCTGATGGGAGTTGAAAATAATTAATGTGCAAGTAGATCGTAAGCACAGGTTGCAGTGTTATGTTCACGTTTGTTCTTTATTTCTCCAGATTGTTGTTGATGCAGTAGATGGAGGTGGACTAAGGGCTAATCCGCCTGCCAATGTTGAAATCACCGTGGACAGAAATACAACGCTGCGGCCACCCAACGATACCAACTCCATGTTACCCAGAGCATCCCTCTGTTGCCAGGAGCCTCTGCTACCGTACTGGGGTGGAAGCAGTAAGACTTACATCACTTGATGTATATCATATGAGTACTGTGGTAATTGCCTCAGATGTATACGGGTTTAATGTTCAACAATGTAATTTATATAGTCACTTTTACAAAATACTTCAATGCGTAATACTTTCTGGTGTGTTACTATTGGGTTTATATGACTAAGGCAGATTTCCATGAAGATGAAAGTGTCAACTCCTACAAAATTGTAAAATATATCCTGTGAATATTTGCATTCTAGCTGAACACTTTGTTATACAGACGCTTTAATGTTACTTTCTAATGATGATTCATGAATTTTAGTTGTTTGAATATTGTCCTATGAGGGATAGATCTTTACTATGTACAGTACGACTTTAAACCTAGGAAGTCTATTCTATGTGTCCCTCACCGTTCCTCGGGTCCGGTACATGTCAATGAATGAGTTGGATGGAAGTGTGTGTCTGTGATTATATATTTATTATTTTGTTTATTTATACATGTGTCGTTCGTATTTGTCTTGTGCAACATCAAACTTTGAATGATAATCATGTTCATAATACTTTATTATGATGTGAATAACAAATATAAGAAACACATCTATTTTCAGGAAAACATCCATTCTCAGCACTACCATTTTCAATGCTTTTCACAACAGTTTTATTTTACAAGCAATGGGCCATGATAGACTGTCAGTGTAGTATTTAGTTAATGATTTCACTGACAGTCTGGCACTGCCGGAATGATATTATGCGTATGCTATCAAAAACAAGGACCAATGAAGGAGACACTGCGCTTTCCACTAACCCCAGTGGCCCTGAACGAATCATGGGCTAGATTCACTTTCCGTTTCATTTCTACATTTTAACAAACGCTAAAGATCCTGAAGAAATCCTGCGTTCATTTACTTTCTCTTTTACATATACTACTTTTATTTTACCCTTGTGATCCTAAACGAATTCAGCACTTGATTTACTAAGTCTTACTCTTTTACATATACTATGTACTTTTTACCTAACCCAAGTGATCTTGAACTATCCTGATTACTGCGTCTTTTACATTTTCACTGGGGGATTTTAAAACTAATCCTATCGTTCCTGGACAAATCCTGTGCTTGATCATTTTACATATACACAGCACTTTAAACAAAATTCAGTGAGCCTGAAGCTGTGGACTCCTGGTATTCTTCTCTTCCCCGTTTCCATATACCAGTTCATCATCAAGTAAAACGACATCCAAAACTCATTCTGCCAGCTTTAGTGGGTTGATATCAGTATCCATTGTAGCTTTTGACACAGTTTGAATGTTTCACAGATCATTGTTTTGTTGTTAATTACTGATCCAAGCATTTTCTCAATCTACAGATACTAACATTACGTTATAGAGAGACACTCACTATCATTTTGATCATACTAGTTTATTTCTTCAGTTAATTACATTATACGTTTTTTCTGGTATAGAATCCATGTGTCAGGTAAGTCAATAAAAACTCACAGGTAAGCGTAAATGTGAGCCAAGGATATGTCACAACCAACGGAAACCATGGACATAACGACCCCTAGAGGTATAAGTACTTGTAATGGCGGCCGAATCAAAGAGTCGACTCATCAAATATCCAGGTGAGCTCGAAAGTATAAGTTTAGTATCATATATCACGATATGATGAAACTACATTACATTAACAATGGAGTGCTTAGAGTACATTTCTTTTGTTAGTTTGAATACTATAAAGAAGGAAGGGTTATTGACATATATATTGAATTACGTTTAGTTGAAGTTTTACGTCGCATCGGCATTGTTTCAGGCATATAACGACCAGACGAAGTATGCGTACATACACACTTTAATTACAAAGTCTAAAGGATTTTCTCAAAATACATATTTCTTCATTATAGTGTTATTTACAAATAGAAGAGTCATAACACCAAAGTTTAAAACAGACTATTTGTCATATATATATATGTATATATGTGTGTATGTGTGTGTGTGTGCGTGCGTGCGTGCGTGCGTGTGTGTGTACATAGTTAAAATTTATTATGTATACAGTATTGGGGTAAATCGAGGATACGTAATATTTGTCATGTAACTGTGTTTCAGTCAGAAACCAATCTGCAAATAACCTGCATGTTTTAAGCATATATTTTTAATTTTTCAAGTGACGTGAGTTATTGTTTGAAAATGTATGTTCCGCAGTCTCCTCAACAAAAGTGGCTTATATATATATGAACTATGTAAACCTTTACAGATTTATGTTCGAGCTGAGGACAATGGCAGTCCCAAACTGTACGACATTGCCCTTGTTGAACTCACCATCAACCGGAACCTAAACCCACCCATCTTCAACCCCGTCACCTATGAAGAGACCATTCTGGAGACCTGGCCAATTGGAGACGTGGTTCTCAGAGTGACAGCTTCAGATGCTGACAACCTGGTATGTGGTTGCTGTGTAGTCAGTCGATATTACTCGGACTGCTGATTCTGTTAAGAACAATTGTTTTTGTTTCTTGAAGATATATTATACTCGAGATTAAGTTCCAACAATCAAAGACTGAGAACATTTTGAAATGCATGTATATAGAATAGAATGTTCGGAGTATTGAGCGGGACACATGCAACCAATAGGATTATGCATCATGCAATGTTACCTTCATGCATGAATGTAGGGAATAATTGATACTTGATACAACATTTCATACTTTGACATGTATTTTATACAGGACATGGGATACATCGAAAAGGATTCGGCATACCTGTTTCCTGAAATCTGGAATACTTATATATCACTTCTTCAAGTCTCGTAATGTTTTCCTCTATGTGGGATTTGTAGTGTTAATAGGTTTATCCTGTCATACGATATCAAATGCCATGTTTCCTTCACAGACGGAATTCAACCAGATCAGATATTCCATCGTGGGTCCAGCAAATGCTCTGGCTCTGTTTACAATTGATGGGTCAGGAAATATCCAATCAACAAACCCTGCAGCTATCAACAGTGCCTCAGAGACAAATTATAAGGTTTTAACCTTGTATCCATTTACATGAAGACATGGAATAAATCATACAGGCATCAGATTCCATTCACAGTTTGCAGATGTGGAGTTCTTTATTGGGATAATCGCTTCAATATAAGGCTCCATCTCCAATTGTCTGTATGAAACTGTGCTGGATGAGTTGCAGCTGCAAGATCTGTGCTTATGTTTCAAGACATAGTTCAGATCAGTAAGAATATCCTTAACACTATAAAAAGTTACTCATTTTAATTTGAAGAAGCATTATGCATTTCACAGATATTTCGCATTATTTTGTGCTGACTGTATTACGATGTGCAATCTTACAGATTTATGTTCGAGCTGAGGACAATGGCAGTCCCAAACTGTACGACATTGCCCTTGTTGAACTCACCATCAACCGGAACCTAAACCCACCCATCTTCAACCCCGTCACCTATGAAGAGACCATTCTGGAGACCTGGCCAATTGGAGACGTGGTTCTCAGAGTGACAGCTTCAGATGCTGACAACCTGGTATGTGGTTGCTGTGTAGTCAGTCGATATTACTCGGACTGCTGATTCTGTTAAGAACAATTGTTTTTGTTTCTTGAAGATATATTATACTCGAGATTAAGTTCCAACAATCAAAGACTGAGAACATTTTGAAATGCATGTATATAGAATAGAATGTTCAGAGTATTGAGCGGGACACATGCAACCAATAGGATTATGCATCATGCAATGTTACCTTCATGCATGAATGTAGGGAATAATTGATACTTGATACAACATTTCATACTTTGATATGTATTTTATACAGGACATGGGATACATCGAAAAGGATTCGGCATACCTGTTTCCTGAAAAACGTGGATCCCGTACCAATATTCTAAGTGTCAAGTCTCCAGACACATGCATGCATCAAAAGCGTGTCGTTAAAGTCGACTTATGAGAAGCGGATTCAATGTATACATGTATATATGTACTGTGTTGGATATTAAACTAATTGTCAAACTCTTTTTTATGATGAAAAGGTGCATAACTAAAAGGTTATTTTATGTGTAAACTTGCCCTTTAACTCAGAACCTTTGTACATTGGTCATCATAAAAACGAATGGACATAGTTGAAATCAAATAAACATTTGTCGTCATATTGTTCCTTGTTGTCTGTTAGTATAAGGTGACAGCTATTAAATCTCCGGAATCCCATCACCATAACTCAGGAACACATCTGTCACATTTCAAACTATGTCGAATTCAAATAAATAGTGACCTCGTTTCCTGAATGTTACAACATGTGGTTCCGACTGCTGCCCTCGGTTAATCTTTATCCTCATGAATTCAACCTGTTGAACATGAACCCAACTTCTCTTTAATCAGAAAATGTTTCATTCAGAAAAATATCATTGAACAAATTCAACAAGACTGAAGAACACATTCCTCAATGCGGTATTTCTTCATTTGGCACACGAATGGCAATATTTGTCCTATTTTCATAACTGATCCTGAATTCCAATCCGACTTTACACCTAACACATGTATAACCTTGTATAAAAACGTGTAAAACTTAATCAGTCATCCATGAAATCGAATGCACAGTCAATTGGTTCCTGTTGGGGCGACACACCAGACAGAAAGTATCGACAGGATTCGGCAGCACAGATGGGACATCATAAATGCTTATAAGTATCACTTCATTAATACTGTTTGATCAAAGAGCCTGGTATGAGTGACATACCAAATACTTCAACATGTAAGCCAGTATCCAACTGAAGAAGAAACGTAACAAAACAATACATCAGTAATGTCTACTTTTGATACGACTCCTAAGGCGGCATGACCACGCCTCTTCGGTACTGGATTCCAAATATCCTGAAAAGAGAGATATGTTACTGGGTACAGCAAGTGTACTATCCAATCTCTGTCTCTACGACAACCGTAATCACCAATATAACCGTAATCACCAATACAATGTTTTCAAAGAGCTCAATGAGAGAGAGAGAGAGAGAGAGAGAGAGAGAGAGAGAGAGAGAGAGAGAGAGAGAGAGAGAGAGAGAGAGAGAGAGAGAGAGAGAGAGAGAGAGAGAGAGAGAGAGAGAGAGAGAGAGATTTGTCTATACTATATTTCTCGTGCTTCTCTTCCTTCTTGTGTTTACAACATGAACGTTTGACATCAATGATTTGTGTTATGGATAGGGAGTCGATACATGCTATGTACAGATTGGAATTTGAATTGGTCTCAAAGCAATTTTAGACTACTAGGAATACAATTTGATGTGGACCTGGAAAACATGATTGAACTGAATTACTATGAGAAATTGAAAAAGATAGAATGCGAAATGAATCTATGGTCAATTCGTACTCTAACTCCAATAGGAAGAAATATAATCTTGAAATCACTATTACTTTCTAAACTTAACCATTGTTTTTCATTTTTTGTTGCTCTAAGCATGCAACCAAAGTATGGAGGACTACATGTACCTATTGTAAAGGAAATGATTTGTGGTAAAAAAATATCTTGGATAAAACGACTACGAGAAGAAAATGCTAAATGGAAAATATTGGTTGATAATTGTATACTTGAAAACTATAGAATATGGCTAGCCGATCCTCAATATATCATAAACAAATTGTCCCTACAATTGGAAACACTTTTTGGAAGGATGTCGTAGAAGCATGGGGAAAATATTTGGATAAAAGATATAAACAGCTGGAAAATAAGGATTTACTGAATCAATCGTTATGGTTCAACAATCTTTTCAAAATTGGAGACCAGACAGTTTTTTATTCAAATTAGTACGGAGAAATACACTATGTATATGATTTGCTTGACCCTGCTAGTATGGCCTTTTATTCACATGAAGAATTACAAAGGATATTTGATATCAAAATTAACTTTCTAATGTACAACAGCATAATATCCTCTGTGAGGAAGTTTCTTAAAAGGAACAATTTCTCCTTCAAAAGGTCTGGGCATTTTAATAAGATCCCCTTTAATGTATCTCAACTGCAAAGTACCTTGCAAGGAACAAAAGTATTTTACGTCTCACTGCTTGATGCAGGTTACAACAAATCATATGCACATAAAAGGTGGGAAAGACTATTTCAGAAACAATATAATTCCAAAATGTTGGAACATATTTATCTAATGGCACACAGATGAACAAACAGCAGCTATCTAATATGGTTGCATTACAAAATAATCTATGGAATAATACCAACAAGCGTATAATTATACAATATTGGACGTAAGGATTCCTTTCTATGTACTTTTTGAGGAAGAGAACCTGAAACTGTCATGCATTTGTTTTATGAATGTAGCCATGTAAAAGAGCTTTGGAGACGTCTGACCAGTTGACTGAACATTGCTGCAGAAGGAGAATTTACATTTAACGCAGAAAACATACTATTAGGATTTCAAGGAAAACATAATAATCCACTAAATGCTGTGTGCCTGATAGTTAAACCAGTGATTGTAAACCAATGTATGAAAAATAAAAGCATTCATTTTAAGCATGCACAAAGAGAAATTATAAAATATTATGAAGCCACCAGATTTACAGCTTCTTCAACCTGCTCCAATAGTAAATATTTCTACTTTTGGTCATCTTTCCACAAATTATTCGAAACGAAATCAGATGATTACACATTTACTACATATTTCTCCCTAAGCGAACAATGTTAAATAATTTGCTTGAGCTTATTATCTGAAAACATTTAAAATTATCCCTTGTCTACTATATATATGGTTTAAAGACTTATTGAAGTCTGCATACTAAATGTGTGGGCAGAATTTGGTGAACTTAAAATACCCATTTGTAATCTATACTTCCCAATTGAAAGGAAAGTCATATACATCTTTATAAATACGTCTGTACACTTGTGTACACAAATGGGTGAACATAGATTACCTATTTGAAACATATACCTCCTAATAGAGGGGGAAAACATGTACATCTTCATATGCTAGTATATAACTGTATTGTTTATATATATGGGTGGATGAATTTAAACTACCTATAGGAAAACATACCTTTCAAAGAAAGGGAAAATATGTACATCTCATATGCTAGTACATGTCTATATTATCTATGTATATGACTGGGTGAACAAAGGCACCTATATGTAAACGATACCTTCTTATAGAAAGGAATAACATGTACATTTTTATATATATAACTGTACCTATGTACATGACTAGATGAACTTAGGTATTCTGTAAACTATACCTTCCAATAGATAGGAGTGAGTGAGTTTGATTTTACGCCGCTTTTAGCAATATTCCAGCAATATCACGGCGGGGGACACCAGAAATGGGCTTCACACATTTTACCCATGTGGGGAATCGAACCCGGGCCTTCGGCGTGGCGAGCGAACGCTTAACACACTAGGCTACCCCACCGCCCCTCCAATAGAAAGGGAAAATATGTATATCTTTATACGCATGACAATACTATCCATGTACATGACCGGTGTAACCCAAACTCTTCAACTGGAAGGAAAAACATGTACATTTTTATACGTATGACTGTATTATCTATGTACACGGAATACCTATCTATAAACTACACCTTCCAATTGAAAAGAAACACATTATGTGCATCTTTATGCTATGACTGTATTATCTACATGTTAGATTGGCAGAACTTTAAAATGTCTATCTGCAACCCATACCTTCCATGTGACAGGAAACAAAGTACATCTTTATACTATGACTGTACTATCTATGTGCAAGACTGGGAGAACGTCTAACGTCTATATGTAACCCATACCTACCAAATGAAAGGAATTACATGTACATCTTCATATTTATGATTGCATTATTTATGTGCATGACTGACAGAACTTAAACCGTCTTCTTGTAAACATACCTTCAACGCGCAAGTGAAAGGAAACACATGTACATCTTTATATATGAATGCTTTATCTATGTGCACGATTAAATGAACTTGGAATACTTGTCTGTAAACTTTACCTTTCAATTGAGACTTACGACTGTATTTAGCTATGTGCATGATTGCCGGAACTAAGAATGCCTGTCTGGAAATCCACCCATCCTCAGTTGAAGGGAAAAAATTGTACATCTATCCATCTATATATGTATATGCATATGTATGTATATGTATATGTGTGTATATGAGTGAGTATATGCACATTACTGTATTAGATATCTTATAGAGTGGGAACAAAAATGAAAAAAAAAGAAATCAATGATTTGTGTTACATGGAAGCAGAAAAAGCATTGCAGAGGGTCTTAAGCAATAGCCAAATGACAGCCTCACCGTTGTTGCATACGCTCTGAACTCTCACGCACTGGTTCCTTCGGGATTGTCTCGTGAGGTTTGTGGTCATTTTCTACAATTGAGATGTCATCTGGGATGTTCAAAAACACTGACTGTTGGTTAGTCACTGTCAGATAGTACTAATCTCAAGAGTCATCTGTTCTTGCGAATCACTCAAAAGTATCAAAAGATGGATCAGCGCCTTAAGTAGACAATATGTTCACGCTGTTGGAAATACTTATGACAACACAAGAAACAATTTGTCAATTCAGTCAAAGAATACTTGGTTCAAATGTAGCCAAGGAAGGAGCTGCATTTAATAGTGTAAATGACATACATAACCTAGTGGAAGTGAAAAAATGTTTTTATCCATCCCTCGTACCAGTTATAATTTCACCAGTTGTATATATTCCAGTCTTGTCTCTTCTCCACTATCACATCCTGTTTTGTTATTTTGGCCTTGCTCGGTTCGAGTGTATATTGGTTCCTATATGAATAATGAATCCGATGTTGCAGAAGGCTGAAGAGCCATTCACGTTGAGAGAAAGAGCGACTGTTAATCCAATCCCTTTTGGTTTCAATACTCCATTTGTGTCCCGAGTGGTCAAAATAGTCACACAAACAAACATAATTATGATATGATTATAAATGGCTATATGGGGTTTAATAATCATGGGTGTTGCGATACTTTTTCCCATGTGTATATAACTGTCATACACGACTGACTATTTGGCTGCAGGCTGAAGGCTGAAGGCTGAAGAGGCAGTCACTTTGAAGAAACAGTAACTGTGTTTCTCTTTCCACACTTCACTTGTTGAGGAATGTGCACCCGCCAACCCTCCAGCCAACCCATCAAATGACATTCAATCCCATTACGATAACAAACCGGTTCTTCAAGTGCCTATATATAACCGCCCCCCAAGTAATATTATACATCCTGATAGGACAAGCTGCCTCAACACAGACCCCTAAAATTCGCTCAAGTTTTCTGTGTGCACCTCTACCTGGGCGTTGGCGTGAAGGTGAGAAATTGCACATGTTTGCGCGTTGAGAAGATTAAACAGGTGTATGAAATGTCTCGCCCCAAATCCACAAACTTCTGTTTGAGAGTATTCAGAGATAGGAATGAATCTGGTCGTGCACCAGACACAGACGACCCTGTTTGCCATCTTGATTGCATTGTATAAAGAGCTTATAGGTCAAGCGTGATTTCGTGTAGTAAATACATAATTTACCTAGCCTTTATATCGTTTGTAAGAGGGTAATATGGGTATTCGTCCGTCAGTTTGCCCGATCGTTCGTTAGCACTGAAACTCGAAATCTCTTCTCTATATCTAACGAACATAACATGTTCTGCAAGTCCCCAGTGACAAGGAAGTAAACATATCCCGTGCATTATCGGGTATAGGGAGTTTAAGTTTGAAAAACTTAGATGACAGTCACCACACTAGTTTCAAAAGATATTCGTGTCGTCATGGTATATGTGCTTGCATTATAAGAAGGACATTAGTCGGAGCGAGTACACGCAGCACTTGTTGGTTATTTGGATTTCAAATGATCAACATGCATTGTATAATACTTGCTGATAGCATGCTATCGTGGAATGCGTAAATACTACCACACTGGCTTACACATGAATAGTTGAACAACATGTGCGATTTATCTATTAATTAAAGCATTAATCCTTGACATATGCTTACGGCATAAAAACATGTCCGTCATACCCGAATGGCATAGGTATTCAAATTCAAATGCAAATTCGATAACCGCAAGAGGGACGTAAGGAATAAATACCAGGGATATAATCAAATGACACGATACCTTATTGTTATCCTTGACATGGAACACATTCCCGCAAGTACTGATACTTATAATCTGAACAAAAGTGCCATGCGTTCGTTACGATGCTAAACATTACCATTATTTCCTGGAATGTGACATGCTGTCTTCTCATGGTCTGAATATTGAAAGTTATCACTTCACTTAGCTCCCAGATAGATTCACGTGATGGCTGCAAGGCTGCCAGTTCCGACATTGACCAAACTGACCTGTGTGCTGCTGGTCTACGTAAAGCTGACGACACAAGTCACCCCTCCGCCTTGTAACCGTGAGTATTCTTTACAACGATCCCTTGTACATAAATAGGTCTTGGTTCATATTTCTCCCACAACAAAGAGAGTAAAGAATCTCAACACTGAATCAAATGTGAACATCATCTATTGGTGTAAGTATACATGACGGAGCGATGGGGCATTACATTTAAGGACGGCTGTAGAAGATGACATTTTGTATTGGTATACATTGTATATAAGTCTTTATCGTAGGCCTCTATTCCAGCTGGAGACAACCTCTATGCCCCGGTCTTCATTAATTCCGAGGTGCAACAGACCATACCAGAAACATTGCCTGTAGACGCCAGGGTCGCAACACTGAGCGCTTTGGATAACGACACTTTGGTTTGTATCATGTCCAGTCTTTTTAAAGATTTGAGTCGAGAGTAGAATGAAATGATTGTTGTTCTGCTCTAGTTTCATCAAGGCAATACTCGGTTCAACGTGCCAATGAAATCTATTCCTGATTATAGTCAAGAGAAAATAAAATACTAGAGTTTCTTGACTAGAATCAGAAACAGAGTCCATTTGATGTTGGGAGCAAAGATACCCGACTGTACTCACCATGATATATATGATATATACTCTTGTATTTAGGCTGACATGAATCTGCTGAGTATGTCGTTGAAACATTACAGTGTAACTTTGGAAGCCTGACGTACAGCATCATCGGCGATGGATCTGCTGCAACGTATTTTCGAATAGAAAAGGACACAGGAACAGTTTCTTTGAAAACCAGCCTGACAAACACATCCATCGTTGACTTTACTGTAAGCAGGAACTATAGTATTTTGTTACCCAACCTGTGCACCCCATGCTATGTTTTGTTCAGCTTAAAAGGCATATACGTTGCCAATTCTTGTTAACAGGGTTTCTAAGAACTTATAAACCGACAGTGACGTCACACTATTGTTCTTAAGGGACACTGTGGGAAACGGGCTTACTTTTCAATAATGCCCTCGGGTCAAGTTATATCCCACACATAAAGAATGACTGAAAGGAAGGGTTTTCTTTCATACTCTGTGTTCCAGTATCCAGGTTTGCATTGCAGGTCAAGATTATGTATAACTTCACTGACAGTTTTTGTTTCGCTTAGTGCTTTAAAGAAAGAAATTAGCAAAAATAATAGGTTATAATATAAACACTAGTTAAAATTTGCTTTAGTCTCATTTTGCTTCTCCTGATTTCAGGTCCGTATAGAGGTACAAGATGGCAGCTCTCCTCCTTGGAGTTCCACAGCATTGCTGTATTTAAAGATTGCAAGAAATTTTGAACGCCCAGTATGGAGTTCTGCAACGTATACTACCAACATCCCAGAGACAGTCCCAGTGCTTGCGACTATACTGCGTGTCACAGCCACAGATAGAGATGCCCAGGTATTGATTACCTCCCTTGAAAACATCCAAACATCAAAGGTGTCTCACAAATGTGTTAACAGTTGAGACATTGCTTCATCTAGTTTTGAACATCAAACCTTACATTTCAGCGCCCCAACAATGAAGTGACGTATGAGCTTGTAGGAGATGCTGTTCAACTCTATTACTTTGAGATTGTCAGTTCCACTGGTGATATTCGCCCAAGGCGTCCACTTACTTCCGATACAAACAGAAGAAGTCAGTTTGATGTGAGTTGTTTTTTGTGTACCATCATGTTATTATTCTGGTGTTCCTTATCAGTAATCATACTATAAATATGTGGGATATTTCCTCAAAGTCATATCCCCACATGCTAATATTGCATAGGTTTTTGAAGAGTCTGAACCTGTTTGTTTTAGTTTGTTGTGATCGCTCGAGATAAAGGCAGCCCTCCTCTCACTGCTGCATTCAATGCCTCTGTGACAATATCAGTGTTCAGAAACAACAACGCCCCTCGGTTCATCCAGGATCCCTACTCCATTACAGTATCTCAGGGCCTGGGCAGTGACACGGTCATCTCTGTCAGGGCAGTTGATGATGACCCTACTGTAAGTGAAATCTGTGACTATATGGCAACTATTGACTTATCCTTTAACAACAGTGATAGGTCGTGATGAACCTTTTCAATAACATCATTGATTAAGTTTCGATTATGTCTACTCTGTAAAAAATCATGGCCTATACTTTCTTTCCTTTTGACAGGCCTGTATTAATAGTGATATTGAATTTCTGAATTTGTAAAACATATCCCATCATATATGCAATTGACAAAATAATGTTTCATTCACAGACGGAATTCAACCAGATCACATATTCCATCGAGGGTCCAGCAAATGCTCTGGCTCTGTTTACAATTGATGGGTCAGGAAATATCCAACCAACAAACCCTGCATCTATCAACAGTGCCTCAGAGACAAATTATAAGGTATTTGTTAACCTTGTATCCATTCACATGAAGACATGGAATAAATCATGCAGTCGTCAGGCTCCATTCACAGTTTGCAGATGTGGTGTTCATAGATTACAGGCTTCAATATAACTCTCAATCTCCAGTTGTCTCAAGGAAACGGTGTGTTGGATGAGTTGCGGTTGCAAAATGTCTGCTTATGTTTCAAGACTTAGTTTTACAGATCTATAGGTGTATCCTAATGCTGGACACTTTATAACGTTTAAATATCATTGTAAATGCGAGAAGAATTATGCATTTGACATACACACCTGGAAAAACGTGTTGAAAAAAATCGCTATTTATATAGTATCAATATGTTACCATTTACCATAGTAAAGGAACTTATCCAAACCCCATTTATCATACTATCGGGATAAATTGATCCTCAGTGAATATATAATGGAAAATAGAAATGCACACAGAACGGAAAAAACAGGTTGTTCATGGCAGAGGTAAACAGTAAAAATTTACTCATTTTGTAGGACCAATAACTACGGTCCTACAACATTAAACGTGCGTTCATTTTCAAGATTCTACCTTACGATCCTCGAGTAATCACACGGATAAATAACCGAGCACAATCTTAATATATGGTTAAACCTCCTCCAAAGATAATAAATACATCCAAATATATCCCCGAACCGCCTTCTCATTGACTGTGTTAGACGTTGAATTGACGTTGAGGTATTTGGTTCCATACGTTAAGGAGTGAGTGAGTAAAAAAGAAGAAGAGCATACTGTGAGTCTAAAAACCCGAACTTGTGTTTCAGTATCACTTTCAGCTGTTAATTTAACATTTACTATTTCAATGTGAACTCCAGACCTATTGTTTTGAGACTTTCACTGTCACATAAGCTGAGACACGAAAATTTCAAAAGAGTCAGTGAGTCAGTGAGTCAGTGGGTGGCTTAAAAGTTAAGGACACCACGGCAATATTTCAGATATATAGTGACGAAAAGGTTTTGCATACACAATAAATATAAGTATCACAGATTGTGTCTAAAACTAGCATGGAAATGTAATGCTATTTTATTTACGAAGACAAGACAACATAAAAACAAACTATCGGTCGCCAACAACTGAAGGTAGATCACCATACTAGGGACCATGGGAATTACAGTATTTATGCTACCTGCATGGACCCTTGTTGGATTTACACCATCCCGTCAGCCGCTGGCGATTGTAGGAAAAGTTTAGCCATAATTTAAAATGATAAAAATACTACGTTTAAAAATCTGGTAGGTTTAAATTGTAATTTTTGAAGTGTTAGGACTTACATATCCTCTCAGGAGGACAATACGTTTACGATACTTTAAACCCATTTGAGAAACAGCCACTAAAAATCGCAGTTGCTAATTTATACTACCATGTTTAAAATGCCATTCATCTATTTACAAAAGATATTATTCAAACATTCATAAAGGAGAGGTTCCAATACATTGAGATTTTTACTGGGAGATCACCCTTGGACTAATAACGTCCCAACCAAGCTTTGGAGATTGAGATCTGGACTCTTTGCGGGCAAGGTACAGTTGCTTCTGCCTCTCGACGTACGAAATCACCAAGATCACGTGCACGATGTGGCTTAGCATTGTCGTCCGTGAAGACTCGCCTTGTGTTCAAGAATGGTCATCGAAATGTACAACAGCCCTGTATAGTATGTCAGGGATGTCAGTGATGTTCCGTTGTCCATTCAGATTTTTTGCCCTAATCGTCACGTTTACAGTCACGTGAAAGGAACCCTAACACTATCAATGAACACCCGCGAAACGGTACTTGATCAAAGGCATTCCATTGTGCATATGCAGTGTTTCTGCTGCGCCAAACACAGCTTGGCCATCAGTGATGAACAAACGAAATCAACTTTCGTCCGACCAGTGAACGTAAAATTCCTGCGACATCAATCTGCACCCCAAGTTTTGTGCTCTTGGGATAGCGACGAACATGTGATGTGTTGTCTGGTTTTATACCCGGCCGATTACATAAGAATTCGGACCGTTCCGTTAGACAAATTTGGAAGGCATTCGTATTAACACGTCATTCGAGACGCTGACAGTCCTAACTAGCTTGCTGTTTTCTGGCCAATAGCCATCTATGAGCATTTGTCCGTTGAAGAGACCTCATATTTGCTCATCAACAACACAGTCGATTGATATTTTAATTTTTTAGAACTGTAGGAACACTTTACTGAAACTTGATATAACTGAACCGCAAAAGAAACATCCAACCGAGAGAGGTTACTTAAAGCACACCATTTGATTCGATCTAATTAACAAACGGAGTGAGTGTGTGAGTTAACATTTAACGTCACATCGGCAATATTGCAGCCATATCGTGACGAGAACAGTTGATATCAATATTCAAATCAATAAATGTATAACGTAAAAGCCTGTCATCGAAGGACAGTAAAACTACTAGAATATCACAGATGGAGTTAAAACTAGCTAGCATATCATTTAAAAGTAGAAAAGCATTTTTGGACGCTACACTGTAAAAATGGGCTATACATCGCCAACAACTGAAGGTAGAACACCATACTAGGGCCTATGGGTACTTACAGTGCCTTTGCTACCTGCTTAACAAACGGAGGGTTGAGTTCAAACTTGACAAATATGGTTAAACCATTTTGGACGCTACACTGTAAAAATGGGCTATACATCGCCAACAACTGAAGGTAGAACACCATACTAGGGCCTATGGGTACTTACAGTGCCTTTGCTACCTGCTTAACAAACGGAGGGTTGAGTTCAAACTTGACAAATATGGTTAAACCATTTTGCACAAACAAAAGCACCCAAAACAGTACCATTAGGATGTCATGTTGTCTTAGGAAGTTCAATGCTGCTCTGGCACTGCGGGCACGAGCGTTGTCTTGGTGGAAGATGTGATTTCTGTGACGTCCAAAGTGTGGTACAACATGGGGTCAGTATAGCGAGGAGCTGTCGCGCCATTTCCTCATCCTGGACCAAGATTCTGGAACACCACGGGACCTGTCCCTGTCAACAATACACTCATTGGAAAACAATTCCCACACCTTCCCCATATCCTCCGTCTGCCATCGGCTGTCGAAACACAATATCGGCCTTCATCAGAGTCCATTGTCGATAGCGCCAATTTCGATCCTCAGTTGCCCTTTGCATTAGGTTTTGCCGGTGACGAGCGGTGGGAACAAGACAAGGATATGGTCTGTGAGAGCAGAGGTTTCTTCCGCGCAAACTTTGACGCACTTTATCGGCACCAATGAGTCTGCTGTGGGTCCCAATGGTCTGGCGCGCTGTTTCCGGTCGGTCTTGACGTTGTGATGTTACTGAACGTCGTCCACTGCGTCGACGGTGTTGGGTGCTGTTCGTGGCCTGATACCGCTCCTGCAGTCGCTAGACTGTCCTAACATGAACATTAAAATGAGTGGCTGCACTCCGTCCCAAGGCTTGGTTCCTCTGATCTCTCGTTAGTCATGGTATGGCGATTGTGTCAAAACAAGAATGATTTCAGGCGAACTTAGGACTCGCTTTCATCAGTGGGGTTGTCAGTATATGCACCTGCATTTCCATTTTTACGAATGTAATGTGGAACAATTTACCACATCTGCCTTTTTAGGTGAGATTGGTCGATGTGCTTTTTCATCAGTAAACACACTGATTTTTGTAATAACTGTCAATTTGGATTGAAAAACATGTTAACAAAACAAAACTCTCCTAATAAAAACACCACCTTGTAAGAACAAAAGTTTGCATCAGGTTTGGAACGGTGGCGTTTCTTTTGCGGTTCAGTATGCTTGCTTATGAACGGGTACGTATTGCACGTGATGCTCACCTTTGTTCATAGCACGTACATATCTAAAATCAAAGTATAGTGCGCCTGAATAGCTACAAAAATCACATGAACGAAGATAATTATGACATGGATATAAATGGTGATAAAGGTTAAAAGGTATTGCAGTGCGTTCAGCCATGTGTATATCTGCATTGTATTTGCTGGCTTTCTTATAATGTGACATCTTCAGATTTATGTTCGAGCTGAGGACAATGGCAGTCCCAGACTGTACGACATTGCCCTTGTTGAACTCACCATCAACCGGAACCTGAACCCACCCATCTTCAACCCCGTCACCTATGGAATGACCATTCTCGACAACAGGCCAATTGGAGACGTGGTTCTCAGAGTGACAGCTTCAGATGCTGATAACCTGGTAAGTGGCTATATTTAACTGACATGTCACCTATTAAAAACTGATTTGATGCGCTATTTAATCTTTTGCCTTCAAATTATTATACTGTAAAGGTTTTTTCATACATATACTTGTAACAGCTGTGCAATTTGCTCACCATTAAACCAGAAAACGTCTTGATTTGCGTGTTTAGCGGGCCATAGGAATGCTGCAAATGGGGCACCACAGACCCTGTTGCAAAAACATTCAGTTGCTCCCATAATACTTTGGCAACTTGGTCCAACGATTCAGAATAACAGGTAGGACAACAAACAAGCCAAGAATAGGAAGACCATGCCCCCTGACGATTGCGTAATATCCTTATGTTTACATTCTAGGCACCATACAACCAAGTGCGTTACGCACTGACAGGAAACAGCACTGTTCTACAGTTCTTCCAAGTAAATACAGTCAGTAACGTTGGTACTGTGTCATTGAAGAGAGCGATATATGATTACCCAGACAACACTGTTACACAGCTGCAGGTATGTGACAAATCTTCTTCTGAAAGTTTGTTCAAATCATCAGCAGGTATGACATTACTATAGAATTGACAATAACACCAACCCTGTCTTATTTTCAGTTCCAAGTGACGTGTGAAGATCTTGGAAATCCAAGCCAAGCAGCCAGCAACTCTGCAACCGTCCTTGTGACTATTGTGAGGAATACCCCACCATTCTTTGATGGTATACCATACTCTACAGTCATCCCAGCTACACAGGCAGCAGACACGTCCGTGTTCCAGGTGGCTGCCAGAGATAATGATGTGGATGTAAGTTGTCTTGAGGAGCCCATGTTCAAATGTTCTTTTATCTTAGGAATAGGACTGAAAACATTGTTTTCTTTCTGTCTTTACCTTCACCATTGTTTATCATTTAGCCCTGTTCTATTTTAATAATATTTGGTATATTTTACACACTAGTCTTCATGGTACAATTTTGACCGAGATGCTGGAAAAGTTACCAGATTACTTTTTAATTTTAACCACTTTTGCCTTTTTAATCAGTGTATTAAAACACTTTAGTTAACATGTATTTTCTAGCTGTTATATACATATATGTTTACAAAATGTTTGATTTGTGGTTGTTGTTTCCTCCAGGCCCCATTCAATGAAATATCCCTGTCTCTTTTGGGTGACTCCAATACACCATCCTACTTCACATTGAGTCAAACTGGCCTTATCTCTGTCAGAAGTGGAGTCAACCTTACTACTGACACCAGGACAAACTATGTTGTAAGTACAGGAATTGTAACACTGGGCATGTGTGTATGTGTTCCTGTCTGTCTGTTTGTGTCTCTGTGTTTGAGTCTGTGTCTGGGGTGGTTGGGGATGCGTGCTTTGTTTGTTTGTTGTTTAATGTCGCACTCAGCAATATTCCAGCTATATTGCAGCAGTCTGTAAATAATCGAGTCTGGACCGGCCGAACCAGTGATCAACAGCACTATCATCGATCTTCGCAACTGGTTTACAATGACATGTGTCAACCAAGTCAGAAAGCCTGACCACCTGATCCGATTAGTTGCCTCTTGCTGAAGACCAATTCTAACCCGGATCTTCACAGTTAGGGGATGTGTGCAGGGATGGGTATAGTTATATGTGCAGAAGAAGGCTGGGATTCAAAACTAAGTTCTGAATATGTTTTAAGAAATTTTATGTGAACTGATTTGTTTCCAATTGATGTTTTCATTTAGGCTCGTGTCCAAGTGCGTGATGGTGGCACCCCATCTTTGACCTCAACAGCCTTAGTTGCTATCTCAGTCACACGGAACTTCTTTGCCCCAGTATTTTCAAATTCTCGGGTGCAAGAGACCATACCAGAAACAACTCCTGTTGGCACCACCGTCACCACTCTTACAGCCTCGGATAGAGATACTGTGGTTTGTAACACTTCCTATCTCCTTTAACTCTTCTTGAAAGTCAATTGTACGATTTCAAGAGACAACTGTCAGTTTGGTCAGTCTTTAATGTGATGTCCTTCTATATCAATCCCAAATTAAGAAAAAGGGTATTTGGACAAGTAGCAGTGAAAAAGTTCATAGAATCTAATGTTAACCCATATGTATTACTAATGGGTAAACGGTTAATAGACAATGAATTGTATCGTTATTCACTATTTATTTAGTCAACCAAGAGTCTTATTATTTGTATCTCTTACCTTACTTTTGATGTTTTTGTATTCAGCTGTCACTGGTGAGGAACTGTTGTTATCAGCATTACTGAAAGAGAAGATTTTGTCTGAATTATTGGTGCTATGTATTGATCCAGTGTCACAATGCTTTATCCTTTACAGGCTCCCAATGGAAACTTTCAGTACAGGCTTGTGAGTGGTACTGGTGTCGGTTTCTTCTATGTTGATCCAAACAATGGTCAGGTTGTCCTTCTGAGGTCAGTTGATGGACTTTCCACTCTAAGATTCTTCACGGTGAGAATTATATTATATGTCATTATGGCATAAACTCTTTCTTCAGTAACCTTTAGGGCTGTAACGATGCCTTGAACTATCGATGGATTGCAATTGTTGTGTCTCCGACAGCAATTAATCAATGATAGAAACAAAAAACTATCGATGCATCGATAATATGTGTGACTATCGATAGTTTAGTAATTGACTTCTGTTGATAAATGCGCAGTGCAAAATACAGGAAGTACCAGATTTTTTCACTTTGATTTAGAGTTTTCTGTCCCTGTTACCTCTTAAACAAACTTTATCTGGGTTTCAAGTTTATTGTCAGTTATCAAAAGAGACTGAAACTACTCCAGCTTGTTTTTGTTTCATATGAACTATTCATTCATTTTGGAAATGACTTCAAATGAGACAATTCAAGGAGAAAAACACTATTGCAATAGTTGGTTGCAATAGACTATCACTATCACTATCGCAATAGTATGTTGCAATAGTTGTTGTTTCCCCTTCAATAGTCATCCCTAGTAACCTTCCATACTTTTCCTATGGTTCTGTGTGTCAAAGTGACTTATTATTGAAAGCTGTCATAATGTAAACATTCTGTATGTCAAGTAATGTACAGTAATGTATCAGGGATGCAGTCCATTATTTACACCTATTCTGATTACAGCTCAATGTAGAAGCACGAGATGAAGGAACACCATCACTCTTTGCCACAGCCATTGTGGAAGTTAGTATCTCTTTCGACCCAGACCAGCTGGTCTTCGGTGCTGGAGAATACAACATAACTCTCAGTGAAAACACACCAGTGAACACTATCATCACACAAGTGCAAGCTCAACCACAGGTTGGTTTATATTCTAGTACACAAACTGATATGCAAACTTCATGGAATTTTTGTGTGCAATTTCACATAATTGTAAATGTAATCATTATTATCTTGCAGATATTTTTGTCCAATGTTGAATTGACTCTTTTGTTCCTTGATAGCTTGAAAGAACATTGTAAGAACATTTAACTCTCTACTAAGGGAAATTTCATCCTGTATCAGTTAGTGACTATGTATATTATATGTCTCCATTACAGGCAGGAGTAGTATACACAGTGACTGGCCTAAGTTCAGGCCCAGACTTCTTCCTTGTGGGTGGATCTACTGGCCAGGTCCGTGTGAGGACTCTCCTGACCTCAGATGCTGCTGAACTTACTGGCTACCGGGTGAGATCCTTGATCAATACTTTTGATATGAAATGACAAAAGTTCAACATGCATGTACATCTGTAACATGTTTTCCTTTTTACTCAATTATTTGAATGCTTACATTTCTATTTCTCTCTAGTTGAGAGTAAGAGCTACTAGGACTGGTGTGACATCACAGACAGCCTTCACCACAGTCAACATCATTGTCAACAGAAATATTAATGCCCCAGTGTTTGACAGAGCACAATACCTCATCACAATACCTGACACTACGCCACTTGGCAGTGTCCTTGACACTGTGAGAGCCACTGATGCTGATGGGGTATGTGTCTTCATAGTTTGTTATAATGTACTTGCTGTCAGAATGTTTCCTTTATGTTGTTTAATGCTGCACTCAGCAATATTCCTGCTATGTGGCAGCAGTCTGTAAATAATAAAGTCTGGACCAGTCGATCACGTGATCAACAGCATGAGCATCGATCTACGCATTTGGTTATAATGACATGTGTCAACCAAGTCAGAGAGCCTGGCCACCCCATTCCCATTAGTCGCCTCTTTCTGACAGCATGTAACTAAGTAATTAATCAGGTGGTGGTAATATTTGTTTGACTACGCAAGGTTAAGCGTGGTTGAAGACATATATTATTCCCCATGGAATCTTGTTGTTCACAAGAGTAACTATGGAACATACAAAACATTATTTATGGAATTATTTATCAAGTTTTGGAATTATATTTTAACGAAAGAATGAGTAAAATGATTTCCTTTGTAAGATATACACAGTGATACACATTAAGTAGTTCTTGTACATATCGCTTGGAATCAGGATATATATATTTCTGTGATAACAAAATGTGACGTTGCCCTTACAGGATGTGATAGAATACACCCTGTTGACTGGACAGCCAGCATCAGATTTCTTCCTTGTTGGGCCTCGTGATGGAAGCATCACCCTCAAGACGACACTCATGGGCACTACACAGAATGTCTATCAGGTAGAAATCTTGTATTATTTCATTGTTGATCATTATCAAAATTTGATACAGATATAACTGAAATGGTAGCAGTATCTAAAGCACAATAGATCGGTGAACTGTTTTTTAATATAGTCATTCAGTGGAATGAATAATCCCTTTGAAATGACTGCATGAACAAACAGATGAAAAAATATGTTCACTGAAACTGTATTCATTTTGAACTTCCGTATTGTAGTTGATTACATCAGAGCTGTTGATCAGTTCGTGATGATGTGACTTGTTGTTGCAGTTTACCATTCAAGCTGATGATCAGAAGGTGCCACGTCAGAAAACTTCAACAGTTCAGGTGACAGTCAACATCACTCGTGATGCAGGTGCTCCACGTTTCATCGGAATTCCCTATTTTGTGAACATCAGAGAAGATGTAGCAGAAAGTTCAAGCATCTTCACAGTCACTGCTACTGATGATGACCTTAGGGTGTGTATTCGTCATGGCTAGTTTTCAACATTGACATTATATTTGCAGCTCTCGTATTTATTTCAGGGTAAAAGTGGTCCTCACTTCTATTATGATTACTGAAAAGCAGGATCACTTGGGTCCCAGTTGTCCAAGGCACCAGAATAGGCTGTACAGTGTTCTGTCCCTTGTGCATTTTACTAAAGTGGTAAAACATCTGAGACCCTCATGACATCAGGTTTCCCTCCCAAATCAAGATAAAATATTGTGATAAAGTTTTTCCCCATTGTGATCTGTGCATTAGAATTTTTGTTTAATTAAAGCCCTTACTTAAAAAAGTCCTTACTTGCAGTGTTGCTGGTCTGTCCATAGTCATTATATATTTTGTAGTTTCATATTGTTAATCTACTGCTCATAAGTGATTGAATTGGGAATGCTTTACTTGAACATAAATATACAATAGGAATTATGTTACATATTATGTTTTTTATACTATCAATTTTAACCAAAAGATTTGCTCATTTGTAATGAAATGTCAAATTTTTTTTTCTTAGGGTCAGATTGAGTTTGTGACCATTGGACAAGGTGTAGCTGAGGCATTCTTTACATTGAACACTCAGCCTGCACATAATCCTCGTGAGTCCTTTGTGATTGTACGGGATACCAGTGCCCTGAGGAATGATGTGACACAACAGTATACAGTGAGTTTCCTTGATTATTTTTGTCAAGTAGTTGCTTCACTTTTTCATATATTGTGTATCTGTCCTTATAGTGAAACCTGCTCTGTAACATCATATTTATGAAAACTTCAGCTCAGAGTCCGGGCCTATGACACTGCTTACCCAAACAACCCAGCTACAAGTGATGTCACCATCAATATCGAGAGGAACCTGAACCGCCTACAGTTCTCTAGCCAAAGATATCAAGTGACCATTTATGCCACTCAGGTGCTAGGTGTACCCATCATACAAGTGAATGCTTCAGATGCTGGTGGGGTATGTACCAGATCAATTAAAACAATTTACATTCATTCCCATTATGTGTTTTTAGTGTATAAGATTATCAAAAGTATATTTCTTCTAAAAGCTGTATATATACTGAGTCAAAAAAGAAACTTCACATTCTTTCTTCAGGGCACTATAAAAGAACAAGAGATGGTAAGATGGTTAAATTGTTATTATTCCATTGCTGAGATCTGTGTGATGTACTCGATACACTGACAGTGCCATAATCAGTTCCATTAGGCTACACCGCCGTTCCAAAACATGGGTATACAGAATGTCAAGTCACAAGAATACAAATGCGAAATTTCTCAGTTCAATATCGTGTATGGCCGCCCCGCGCATTCACCACTGCCAAACACCGTCTCCTCATCGACTGCCTGATGCTTGTGAACACGTGGTTGGGGATTCTGCGCCATTGCTCTTGCAAGGCAACGCCAAGTTCCTGCAAATTCTGAGGTTGGTTCCTAAGACCACGAAGCCTTCTCCCAAGTGCATCCCAAACGTGCTCTATTGGATTAAGGTCGGGGGACCTCGATGGCCAGTCCATGACGTTGATTCCAGCGTATTGAAGGAAATTTCGTGTCAACATCGCGGTATGCGGCCGAGCATTATCATGCTTGAACTGTAGCCCTGGGCCATGAGCCGCCATGAAAGGAACGAGTTCAGGGGTGAGCACCTGGTCGCGGTAAGCAGCAGCTGTGAGGTTTCCACGGATGACCAGAAGTCGGGAACGGTTGCTCCCACAGAAAGCACCCCACACCATGCAACTTCCGCCCCCGAATCTGTCGACTTCCTGTACACAACATTGGGCATACCGTTCACGACGTCGTCTCCAGACTCTATGCCTGCCGTCCGCGAATCTGAGGGTAAACCTGGATTGATCGCTAAAGACGACTCGATTCCAGTCTCTCTGGGTCCATCGGAGGTGACGTTGGGCCCACAGCAGACGTTGACGTTGATGAAACGGCGTCAATATTGGCCCACGATATGGACGTCGAGAATGGAGATTGGCAGCCCGCAACCGATTTCGAATGGTCTGTGAGGACAGTCGACCTCTAAACATCTCAGCCCTGGTTCGTTTAGCCGGCAGAAATCTGTCACGTAGGTGACGTAGGACGATTTGACGGTCTTCTGCTCGTGACGTCACACGTGGACGACCGGACCTTGGGCGATCAGAAGTGGTGCCAGTTTGTTGTAGACGACCTCGCAAGTCATACACAGTACGACGGCTGCATCCCATTGCTCTTGCGACGTCAATAACTGATCTTCCCGCTTGCAACATGCCAACGGCACGTTCACGTTGCACATTTGACAATAGTGGCATTTCAAGTACCGTTAGAACTGTGGTTTAAAAGTGTTTTTTCAATTCTTGAGGCCAATGCAAACACGTGCATATGAAGAAAACTTCGATGCGAAGATAACGTGATCGACTGCACGTGCAAAACCTGATTTGGCACTAACGTCATTTGCACGACGAATGGATGGGTTTGAGTGGGTTTTGCTAACGTTTTTCTAGAGTCGAAAGATAGGGATCCCATTTCGGATACATAGATGTATCATCAGAGAAAAATTATTCATTTTGTGAAGTTTATTTTTTGACTCAGTATATATGTATGCTGCTACCATGGTGGGTTGTGTGAGTGAATTCATTTGAGTCGGTGTCGATGTTGATGTTATTTGTATGGTATTGCTATTCCAGGATAACCTGATGTTCGAAATAACAGGGAGTAGTCAGGCCCAAGTATTCTACAATATCAACCCACTCACAGGAGAAATCTATGTGAAGAGGTCACTGCTGGAAGGCAATCAGCTCAATGACCAGGTAAATCCTTTACTTTGATGTTACCATTAATGTCATGTCTAAGACTGTTTCTATGTGTCATCACTACAAGTTTTTAAGGCTCTGTTTCATACAGTTATGCATATCTACTATTTCCAGATAAGTCTGCGAGTGCGAGATCAGAGGACTCCTGAAAAATATGGCACAGCTGAAGTTGATGTCACTATCAAAAGGGACAGATTTACTCCAGAGTTCCAGAATCAGCCCTACATTAGAAACAACTTCCCATATCGATCAAATATTAATGATAATGTTCAGACTGTTCTTGTCACAGACAGAGATCTTGAGGTAGGAATTAAGCAGCATTGAGAAGTAAACAAAGTATGTCTCTTAAGCAATTAATATGTAAGCGTTACAGTACTTCATGGTGATTGTCACACTTTTGTGAACAGTTTATCCTGTTTCTCTTTTAGCCACAAAGTCTTCATTGTTGTTTCCGCTTTATCAATGGTGCAATTTTTTTTATTCATTTATATTTCAGGGGACAATTGTTTACGAAGTGACAGGTGTCTATCCTGCTCCATCATTCTTCAGAGTAAACAATGAGACTGGCTTGGTTGACCTCAGCCAGCAGCTCACCACCATCAGCGGAGACTATAGGGTACGTACAAATATTGAATTCTTCACAGTCTTTTACATCATTTACTTTTCGCATTTCTTGTGGTAGAGACCAACAGTAGAAATATAATTTTCTTTTCTCCTTTTCAGTTACGGGTCATTGCATATGACAGCTTCTACCCAAACAATGCAGCCACATCAACAGTGACGATCCTTGTGGATACCAACCCCAACACTCCTATATGTAACCCACCTGTTATCAGTCAAAGCTTGGACACTGGCTCACTACTAACTCCAGTTGGATTTGTCATTGGGACTGTCAATGCAACGGATGCTGATGGGGTAAGTTATAATTACCATCTCATACATCTCCAGCCAGCTTTGTTGAACCTATATACCTATTATTTATGCCTTCCAAGTACCCCCCTCACAGATTTGAGCATATTTATATAAGTGAATTTAAATTTCAGGATCAAATCTCCTATTCCATGGTGAATGGTGACCCTGAGGATTACAGATACTTCATTGTAGACCCAACTGATGGCACCCTTCGTCTCCGTGAACCTATCGATAATACCTTCACTGGCTTTAACGTAAGTTGTTGTTGTTTATGTCTTCATAGGTCACTTCATTAGGATTTATATTGTTACCTACCTAGCATCCTGGTCTGCGATGCCCATAATAATCTGTAATAGGTCAATGTTCTGGATATGGGTCTATGATCATCATAGCTCTAGGATAACTTTGTGGACCTGGAAGTGGTGATTACTTGTGACAGGTCTTGTAATCGCTTCTATACTATAGATGAGATATATCTATAAGCAACTATGCTACATAAATGTTGACATATGAGGGTCTACAGCAATGATTTCTGTCATAACATATCACTCCCTGTGGGTTCTATGTTCTATGTATATAACAGTTCCAGATTCAAGCCTCAGACCGTGGTGTTCCGACTGCCAAAGTGTGTACAACATTTGTTAGCATCACGGTTCAGAGGGATGACGCTCCCTTCTTTGTCAATGAGCCATACAGTAACACCATTGATGAGACAGTCACGACTGGTACTCCAGTATTCCGAGTAGAAGCCCAAGACAATAATCTCAAGGTATTCACAATTTGTTGTTGTAACATGACATTTTCCTTCAGTCTGTTAATTTACATTTCACTGAAACATGATGCCTTGTGCTTTGTTATCAGCAAGTTGGATAATTAAATGATTACAGCATTTGAAAATACTGAAAGAAATGGTGCATTGTTCTTTTAGGGTCGAATTGTGTATGGTTTGGTTGGTGATCTGCGTGCTCCCTACTTCTTCACTATCAATGACACAAATGGCATCATCACTCTAAGGAACAGTATACGAACAGACACCTTCATGTCATACAAGGTAGGTAACAAGTCCAACAACTCACAGTCATCAGTTAAGCTTAAAATTATATAAGGACAGCAGTATATAGTTATACCAATTAATTTTTAAGAGTTTTGAACTCAGAAGACTCATGGGATTTTTTGTTCAACCAATAACTTAAACACATTCAAATGGATTGTTTTCAGATTGTTTTCAAATAGGAGAGGTGCAGTGCAAAGTTTTATGTTGATATTTTTAATTTATCAAGAATTATATCTTTTGAACATGAGAAAAGGTCCACATCAATTTGTCCAACCAATAACTTTACAATCATTTAATGAATGGTTTTCAGATTTGGGTAATGGGTTCTTTGTGTATATGAAAGGGGCAATGCAAGGTTTAATAAAGATATTGTATTTTTGACTAGAGAATAATCATTATCAGTTGTAGTTCAGCTGAAGTTGGGTGTCATAATCGGGGGTATTAGTAAGTCCTGCTCACTTTTTTTGCTTGTTTAATTTATGTCACTGCTGATTTCAGGCTAGAGTAACAGCATACGACTCGGGATCAACGACACGTACTGCCACAGCAACTGTAGACCTCACTGTGAATCGCAATGCTGGCCAACCAGCATTTGGTTTACCTAGTTATGATACGACCATTGAGGAGTTGACAGCAGTGGGAACAAGCATCATCAATGTCACAGCCACTGATTCAGATCAAGTTAGTCCAATAATAACTCTGCCTTTTTACATCTATATGTAGCCTCAATTACTCATCATTTACACTTAATATGTTGACTGATATTGATGTAATAAATGTTATATTTTTTTTAATCTTGTATTTCATATGATATATCTTGATATATCTGATCTCTTCAGGATGTCCTCCGCTACACTCTTGAGGGCAACCCGGTATCAGTGAATGGACTACAGTATTTTGGCATCAACTCCAATACAGGCAAGATCAGTGTCATCAGACCACTGACAGCTGATGTGGCCAGAACAAGTCAATATGTGGTCAGTAAATGTTTCTTAGGACTTGTGTACTTTGAAATCCTGGATATTAGGCTTTCATTTCACAGCAGTCAGATAAAATCATACTAAATTATAAAGCTCTTTAAATATTTACTCAGTTGAAGATCAGTTAATTCCTACTCTATGTAGCGAACAAAGTTCACCCAATCAAACATTGTCAGGCATTTTTGTGAACAAATTAAGTATGTTTATGCATTGTGATCACTAAATAAGACTATCCACATTCAGAACTAGATTTCTGGATGTCTTAATGAATTGGTTTCATTTTTAGAATGTATGTTGTGGAAGGAGGGATATCAAGATGTCTGAGGGCTGTGCTCACTTAACAGTGTTTATTAAGAGTCAAGTGAATGTCCCGTTCCAGTGTCAGCCTATGTAGAGATTGTAAAACATGAGCACTGAGTCATAGAGAGTCCATGTATGCCTACAGATTCATTTATCTTTCAGATGACTGTACGAGTAACGGACCAGAGGCAACCAGTTGAGAAGTCAAGCACTGCCCAAGTGACAGTTAATGTTCTCCGTAACCTCAACAAACCATATTTCAGAAACAACCCATACTCTCGCCAGATCTCTGAATTAACCACAGTGTCAACTTCAATCATCACAGTCACTGCTGTTGATGATGACCTCAAGGTTAGTAGTTTGAACAAGACTGAGTACTAAATAGAGGATACTAAATTATCTTCCGTGTAATACCATTTCACTCGTTTGATATTAAATCTTTCACGAGTTTAATATAAATGGTATTTCATGGAATTGAGTTTAGTATTCTGTTTATTACTCTCCAACATAAATTGCAATTGATAGAAACTGTATACAGCTTTCTGCGAGTCAAGCAAGGTCTCATACCATTGTGACAGAGGTATTAGCATTGTGACGTCATAACTGTAAATCGTTATGACATCATACGTCTACCAGTATCACACTAGTGTAATATTGCCGTAAAAATATTACACTGCAGTATCTTTCACGGGTGAGTAATAATGTAATGTATTTTAAAGGTGTATCGTATGTAAGGAGTGAGTTAAGATTTTAAGTCACATCGGCAGTATTTCAGCCATACCGTGACTATCATATGTAATGCATTCCTGGATCATATTATATGTTATGTATTTGAGGGGGCATGTGTTTTGTGAGTGAGTGAGTGGGTGAGTTTAGTTTTATGCCGCTTTTAGCAATATTCAAGCAATATCACGGCGGGGGACACCAGAAATGGGCTGCACACATTGTACCCACATGTTTGTTGTATTTCAGGGGGCATATTATATGTAAACTATTTAAGGGTCCATATTATTTGTAATGTCTTCCAAAGGGCTTATTGTATGTAATGTATTTCAAGCTGTCTATGTAATGTATGGAGTGTATTGTATGCAAATTATTTGAGGGTGCATCTTATATGTCATGTATTTCACTTGGTGTATTGTGATATGTTGTCTATTTCAGGGGGTATATTACACATAATGTATTTTATGGGGAGTTTATTTTGAAAGTTTATTGATGTACAGTCATTGGTAATGTTGCCTGAACACTATATAATTGTATACACTGAATGTAATGTATTTCAGGGGGATCTAATTCTGGACATAGTTGGAGAAGGATCAGCACCATCCTACTTTAGTCTCACACCAGCCACACGAGTTGCTACAACCCGAAATGCTCAGGTTGATCTCCGGAACAGTGTACGATCTGACAGAGGGCAGTTTCAGTATGTGGTAGGTATAGACCTGATCCTCTTCATTAATGTGCAGGAAAATACTTCTGCCTTGTACTCCCTTGAGGTAAGGGACTATTTGGGACCAAAACAGATGGGAAAGTAGATAATAATCAGTAGTTTTTACATTTAGTTTACATTTATTGATGATTTTAATATGGCTTGCATCACTGACATTAACCTTGATATTTCATCTTGACATGTATGTAATGTCATGGGCCATGGATAAGTGTGATACATCACCCTGCATGTTGGATAGAATAATATCAGTATGTCATCTGCATTATGTTTTATTTACCTTCCAGCTTGTTGTGAGAGCCTATGACTCCTTCTATCCTCAAGATTTTGTTGAAGAGCGTGTAGTTATTGATGTCACACGCAACGAATTTGCACCAGAGTATATCAACACACCGTATCGAGTAACAATTGATGAGGACACACCAGTAGGCAGAGCGGTTATAGATGTGAATGCTACAGACCGTAATGGGGTATGTATGCTACAATTCATTCAAACAGACGTTATTGTTGGTATGCTATTTCAGCTCCAATATCAGGTGATGCGAAGTAATTAATGTTATAAACCAATGCTTTTAAATTTGACAGTGCGGACAATATGTAATGCGAATTATATGTCACTAAACTATTTTTTAACGTTGTCATTGGATTATACGTTTTCGGACAGCAGAGTTTACTGTCGCTGTGATGAGGTAGTATGGGTAACATTGTAAAAACTCAGATAATGGCTTGCGTTTACGATAAAGTTGTCTTTAATATGTTTGTGACATTTTTTGCAGTTGCACATTCAGTAGTTGAGAAAACAGATGAAAAGTGATGAAACATGTTGCTAGATGTTGTTCAGATATGTCAGCAGTATGTACTGTTTGTTTCAGGATCGCATTTACTATGCAGCATATGGAGAAGCAGACACCATGCAATTGTTCCAACTAGACCCAAACAGTGGAGTAGTAACACTGATCAGACCCCTGGTGCCTGGAACCCAGATGCAGTACACGGTAATTCAACATTCATTCCCTGTATTAGTACCCCATTTGATTGCCAGTTGTAATGTCCAAGATCCATATGAGGATTTGTTCATACTATAATGGAGTATTGTCATTTATTACCTACGAAGGCGAAAGTATCGCGGTTCATATTTTTCATACGATGCCCTAGGGCAAATATCACTTTGTCATGGTGACGTGATGTCATGAACAATGCTATGACGTCACGTTTCTTCTGTGACGTTGCGTTCTACTTGCGGCGACGGCGGGTAGCCAGCCTATGTTTGAAAGTAGATTTGGGTTTATTTTTCTCAATTTGACGACTTCGGTAATAAACAGAATATTATGTTGGAGCCCATATCATACTATGTTTACGACACTCGTGCCTAAATATCGGTATATCCCTCTTTCTCGCTTGGGAAATACCAACATTTAGGCACTCGTGTCGTAAACATAGTATGACATGGGCACTCATATAATATCCTCTATGTATTTCTAGTTTCATTATAATTATCATGATTTTGATAAGGCAAGTGTAATACTCGAGTTTGATCTTTGTGTTTAATTTTGCTGTCTGCCCACATCTTCAGATGAGAGTGAATGCCACTGATGGAGGTCTTCCTGAACGATGGACGCCAGTGGAAGTCATCATTACAATCAGACGAGATCAGTTTGCACCCATATTTATTGGAAACTATCAAACAAATGTCTTTGAGACCCAGGCAGTACCATCAGATGTACCAATTGTTGTACAGGCCACAGACCAGGATGGAGTTGTTGTACGTATCAAAAGAGCTTATGCTGTTACCTAAGCAGTGCATTAAAGCTGTAATAGTGTTCTAACCATAAATGGATTGCTTTTGTTATGGTTGAATATTCATGTCATTTGAATTGTATTGTAGGTTATGAAATATGGTTATATGCCTACATAGACTACATTTCAGTGTTTGGTTGTTTGTGCCTAGGGCCAGATTGTGTACAAGGCTACAGGCATTTACCCAGCACTGAGTTTCTTCGAAGTGGATGGAACATCAGGACAGATTAGACTCATCAGAGATCTCAAAATGGACTTTAGCAAGCCCAACCCATACTTGGTAAGTCATGACATCAAAATTGTTCACAATCCTAATCACAAGTGGAAGTTTAACCTGGCATGTAATAACAGCTTTAAACATCTTAGGGAATTGGAGCTTTGAAATAAGAAACGATATTTATCTAAGTAAGGTTAAAGTGTGGGGTTACTAAATTTCATTGTTTCTGATTCTGAATTAACTGAATTGCATATTCTAGCTGGAAGTGACAGCTGAAGACAGTGCAAGGCCAAGAAAGATGGGAACAGCTACTGTCACCATCAATATAATCCGCAATCCTAACACACCACAGTGGGGTTTGCGTAGCTACTCCGCCAACATCCCAGAAGACTACCCTGTCCCTGGACCTGTTGTAAATGTTACTGCAACTGACTTGGATGCTGGGGTATGTCCACTTTATCTTGAAGTCATACTGGTATTACCTGTTCAAGGTAACCATATATTACTGTAGATAAGCCTAATTTTGAGGACCACAAAAAGGCAGTCTGTAGAAGGGGTTGGCTTTATTTACAGGTTACATTTTCGTCAAACATTTGTTCAGGGGGTACACCTCTCTGTATGAATAGAAGTCACTGACAAATACTATAGAATCTTAATCTGTCTTTATTGGACATGAAGGTATTTTTCCACATTGCTGACTTTTCTATTGCCTGTCTGTTATTCGTCTCTGTATTTTCTAGGACAAGATAAGATACAGTTTGAACTCAGAGGTGATCCAGAGAGATGTGAGTATCGGTCCTATCGGCTACTTCTACATTGACACAGACATCGGACTCATCTCACTGAGAAGGAGTGTCCTTGGCAGTGGAATTAGACAGTTCACGGTCAGTACCTTCTCTGTATTCTTGTCTAGAGTACTATCAGGTTATCATTTTCTAATACATTCCATATTTTGTGTGCACCTACTGAACTTTTTTAATTTGTGTTCTGTTACAATTTTATTTGCCTTTCATGTTGAATCTTGTTGCATTGTTGGTCTTAAAAGTTAACTGGCAAAACATTTTGCCTTTTAATTGTGGACTTGATAATGGAATTATTACTGTGCAACAACTGACCTTTTTTACAGCTTGGTATCACTGCCTGTGATAATGGATATCCAGTTCGCTGCATCAATACCACAGCAGTAATTACAATCAACCGTGATGGTCAGTCACCCGTTTGGCAGAATTCCCCCTACAATGTTCAGATCCAGGAGACTCATGCTGCCGGCACATTCGTTCTATCAGTCCGAGCTGTTGACCCAGATTTGAAGGTATTTTGAGGACTACAAATTCATCAGAAACTCTAATTCAAGAAAAGGTCTAATTGGCTGATATTTCTGGTTATGTAATAAGATTGGTGCTTTAGTAATAATTATTTATTTAGTAGTATATTTATTATGTAATTTTGAAAATGAGTATTAAGTTGGCCAGTGAACCTAAGACCTTTGTAGTAGTCATGTGAGACAGGAACGTAAGACAATTGATATTTAGTCTGTTATCATCCTCTAAAGGGATATCTTGACTGTTTCAGCCCGGCAGCCAGGTGGTATATGAGTTTCTTAACCGGCCTGCCTTCTTTGCCCTTGATGAGTTATCTGGGAACATCACTCTGGAAAACAGTGTTCTCTTTGATTCCAACACACAGTATAATGTAAGTTTTCACAGTTTGACCTGATACCAAACTGTATTTTGCCTTTTAATTTCTTTTTTATGTTTGTACAATAAAAATTGTGTTGTACAATGCCAATGATGTTTTGTTATATGTGTATGTGTATTTCTTCACCAGTTCCAAGTTCGAGCATATGACAGGTTGGACAAACCTCGAAGTGTGACAGCTGATGTGACGGTGTTTGTCATCAGGAATGCCAACGCTCCAAGCTTCCTACGTCAACCGTATCAGACAACTATCTCTGAGTACTATACTGTAGGTTCTGAGGTCCTCAACACTACAGCAGTGGATCTGGATGGGGTAGGAAGACCATTTCTTGTCAGCTAGTCACTGTTGTGAAGCTATTTGCATCCTGGTTAAGCAAAAATACTTTCTCTCATCACTGGAACATATATATTTTCAATCATCATGGAAATACTGTCACATTTAATGTTTTATGATTAAAATGTAGCATGTTTCTTTGGTAAAATTGGACATGATATAAATGCTAAAAGAAAATATCTGATAGATGCGTGCATGATTCCGTTCACTTTTACAGATTTTATTAACAATAAACACTTAATGTTTCTTCTGTTCAGGATGTACCACTGTACTCCTTTGTGAACCCGACAAATGAGTTTGCCAGCAAATTTTACATTGACCCTCGTGATGGAATCATCTATCTGAGGAGTTCCATGGAGAGGACCCCAATTACACTCTACAATGTAAGATATAACATGGCTCCAGGCATTTCTAGTACTCTGTCTCAAGTACATTAAATCAAAATATTTGAAATGTATTATTGGAATCCTTTTTGTCTTAAATTAGAAAAGCAGATATCTTATAGGATGAAGAAACAACTTAATAATCACATCATTTCATTCAGGTTACCATCTCAGCAACGGATCAAAGACTTGTGTCTCCCCGAAGTAGTAGTACATATGCCGAAATACGAGTGGATCTAGATGACACCCCACAGTTCACCCAGAATCCATATAATCGACCGATTCAGGAAAGCTTTACTGTTGGCAACTCAGTCATTACTGTCCAGGCAGTTGATCCTGATCTACAGGTGGGTACTTCTTGAAGAAGAATGATAGATATTTTACAGTTATGGATGGAAATTGATTTACTGAAACTGATATATCTTTCATATTTCAGGGTGATATTCGTTATGGCATTGATGGTCTCTACCCAGCTGAGTCCTTCTTCGGCATAAATCCCACATCTGGAATGATATCACTCCGACAGGACATCAAGAATGAGCCTCTTCAGCTGTCCAGCTACACAGTAAGTACATGAGGATATCTTTCCAATGGACACACTTGAGTATTAAAAGCTGAATAACACACAAAGTCTTCGCAGGGATTTGTTTGAGCTTAGACACATAAAATACTGATAATAATGAGTACGTTTTCTGTTACAAACGAGTGGTGTTTCTATCCAGTCTTAGAACTTTCATAAATTGTATGTCTTTGCGTTAATGTATTTTGTCATGTAAACCAATGTTTCAGTTGCGAGTATTTGCTTACGATACTGCACGCCCTACCCGCCGAGGATCCTCCAGCGTTCTTCTTAGCCTGGTGCGAGATCCCAATGCACCACACTTCATTCCAACTGATCAGTATGAAACAGCTGTGGATGTGAACACGCCAATTGGGGATAGGATTGAAAACACCACTGCAATTGATCTTGATGGAGTAAGTATAGTTTACAATGAACAAGTAATAAAATGTTGTTCTGAGGATGTTATAAAGTGGATGTTGATGATCATTTGTCAGTGTATATCCTTGATGTTAGGATGCAAGTCTATGTCTCAGTATGCAGTAGTGTTTTGAAAAGATATGCATTGTAATGATTAGTTAGTACTATAGTATACTGTTGTATGTTATCATCAGTTTTTGCAGTGTTTGTCTTTAGGCTAATAAGATATTTGTTATAAATTTGCATTGTACTGTACTTAGGATATGAAGACTCGATATGCCATGCTCTCGTTAGTATATATAGAGCTATAGTTATATGAAGCTTTATTGTGTTCATGATTTGTAAAGCCACAGGGCCTTAATGTTCAGGATACATGTCCCAAGGTATATATTATCTATAAAAATGAAGAATATATAGAACAGCACAATTTATTGCGGAGTTACCTTCAGGATCTGTGAAGTGTTTGGGCAAAATTATATTAATTTCAGAATATGTAGATGGGCTGTTATGTGATATCTTGCTATTTTCAGGGTTTGTAGAAGTGGTGTTACATAATACCAGTTTCTTGACATGACGTAGTGTACTTATACTATGACCTGTTCTTGCCTTCAGGACACAGTGACATATCGTGTGGTAACTGCCTTCACCAACACTCTGAAGTACTTCTATCTTGACCCTGACACTGGGGATATCCATGTCCGTGCTCCACTCACATCAGCACCTGGGAATTTCTATAGTGTAAGTAACAACAAATGTTATTCGATATTGTGATATATCAAGAAGTATTTCTTTAACCATTTGCCATGTCATTCTAAAGATGCTGAATTTTGTTTATGAATCATGGTTTTATTAACTTCAGGATTATCTAAGTGTTCCTATAATTTTCCTTTTGTCAAAGATCAATAATATTTCTTTTCAGTAACATTGAACAAAACTACTGAAAGCTACTCAGTAGCAATGATTAATGCACAAAGTCAGTTTATTATTATGTAGTGCTCACAATAAGTGGCTATACATGCCTTATTGTGGATGGTGATGTAGCATTAGGTATGAGCACCTAGTTTTATGGTCGGTATGTTCAGAATTAATCCCAGTCCTTAAATACCAGAGGCGGTGGGGTAGCCTAGTGGTTAAAGCGTTGGCTCGTCACGCCGAAGACCCGGTTTCAAATCCCCACACGGGAACAATGTGTGAAGCCCATTTCTGGTGTCCCCAGCCGTGATGTTGCTGGAATATTGCTAAAAGTGGCGTAAAACTCAGTCAGCCTTAAATACCAAGGCTGCCTCTGCTACAAGGAAAAACCGATCAGACCATGCAGGATTCTCTTATGTACATATCCCCCTGTGATAGATAATAACTTTGTACTACACAGGACCGTAATGGTAGCGCGTTTGTAAGTATTACTATCAATTTTAATGTGTACATTATGAATACATTGTTTTATTTGAACTTACATATTGAATTGCTTTGAGATTTTGTCAGTGCTTTATTGAACCTTTTAACAAGCCGCCAGTTTAGTCCAGTGGGCCTGAAAGGTTCATTGTAATGTCATATTCTCCCTTGTTATCATAGTCATAGTTATTAAACCATTTGCATTTTTTGCTGATCCAGTACCGCCTGATGGAGTGAACTGAAGTTTGGTTTAGTTTCTAACCATAAGAGGGTTAAGCTTATTCTAGGATGCAACATGTTGTCATCTTTGATTTTCTGAAATTGTTTTATCAGAAACTACTTCCCAGGTTGAAGGTTTCGGGTGATTGAATGATTATGAATGATTAGTATATTGCTGTTTAAATATCCTGAGTAATCTAACATTTGTAATTGTAGTGTTTATTATAATAGCATTATTTTTTGTTGTATAATAGCAGTCTGGCTTTATCACATGTTTGACCTGTGCAAACATAACCCAAATGCATTCCCTCCCTTAATGTATGGTTGTTCTCTTAAAAAATGTAGTTTTGTTATGAAAACCTATTGCTTTAAATGAGCTGCACCATTCTTTTCAATTAATTTCGAACAAAAACAGCATAGTTTCATGAAAAAGGTTTCTTAGATAGTTCACACTAATTCTACATTTTATTTATCAGAACAGTTCCTCCTGTGCATATCAGCTTATTTAGGCTTACATTTCTACCAAAGTTTATTTTGTTCTTGGTAGAAAATATATCCCTAGGTCTAGTGAACCCTGCCTCTATTTTGACTGAATAGTTGGAAAGTTTGGTTTTGCTATTTCTCAACCTGTAATTTCCAAGAGTATTTTTGATTTACCAATTGCATGACTCTGTACGAAATTATATTTTTCGACCTAAATTCTGCAAATAGTGGAGTTTTTTTACAAACATGTGAAGACAAACATTTGGATGAATATATACAAACAGAAGACACTGATCTGTTTGTACTTAGTTTGATTTAAACATATGTCTTAAACAATCAAGTTTAACATAACAATAACTTGATGTGACCTGGTTGTATTATTGGTACCAGTTGTAATA